GGTGCACCACCACCTAAAATTAATATTCTTTGTTTTGAAAATTTAAAGTTTGATAACACTTATACTTATCGGCATAAACTCATTCATACACACAATAAGACATAACTTAATGATGAAATGCATTACGATTTAATAATAGATTGAGGTTCGATTCTCCTCTTCAATATTAAAAAAAGAAAAAAAAATACACACTCATACACCACATTAATTTAATGAAAACATAACGAGGGCAATCCAAATCACAAAGTCCTAAAGGCTAATTTTTTTTTAAAATAACCAATTTTAATTATCTCAATTTTCAACTCGTATAGATAATTTTTTAAAATTAATTTATTATTTTATTTTTTTTATTGAATTATTAAAAATATTCTCATGAATTTATATATCGGGAGTAAGTAAGTTTTTTTAGACTCAATTCAATATACCTTGTATTGTACAAAAGACATGTAGTGCGTATGACATCAGATTCCAGCCCCTTTGCTACTATTATCATCAAAGCATTAGCTGTGAAGCAAATTATAAAAGATTATTTTATTTTACATTATAAAATATTGTTTTGTTATTTATATTTTATTTAATTTGAAAGGTTTATGTCCAAACATAATAATTACAAAGTTTCCTTTTATATGACATTATTTTTGTCTCTAATAATTATAGTATTTTTGAATTAATATATATGGCTTTTGAGATACAGTTGCTTGTTGCACAAATTCAAGGATGCTTCCTTGTATTAAACTTGTCTGTTTAGGTATCATCTTCAATGTATAGCTAAAAATAAAAAGAAATCCCAAAACAATTTTCTTAAAATAAGCTATAGAAGATAAATGGAAATTTATATTTTGCTTTTCCTTTTAGAGATAGAAATTTGACTTTTCTAGTAATTTTCAGCTTGTAATTTCGCTACTTTAATGAACTTTTTAAATTTTTACCTTGATATACATTAAACACATTAATTTTTAATAATATGAGATAAATACTAATTTAATCAAATTAATAAATATTTTATTATAATATAATAAAATTAACTGTTTATTAATCGTAATATAAAAATTTTAAACTATTTATATTTGGAAAGTGCGCAGAGACTACCTTGCTAAAATTAAATTATATTTTATTGTAAAATCAGAAAATAAATTAAAATAAGTAAGACAGTAGTCTCAAACTACAATCGGGTCCACGTATAGAAAGATTCAAGTTTCAACGTTGTGGGCCCATTTTATAAATCAGATTGATTGATGAATTAGGGAGTCTTGTAACCAAAACAGGAAGCGGTCCAATCTCTGAAGCACACACGACTGGAGAAAAGATATAAATGTTTGACTTCTAGGTTTCCCATTCTAAAACTATTATCATTGATAATATTATTTGTGATTGGTATTTTTACGAATAATAAAATTTCACCTAAGAGTGATTGTTTACAACTGGTGGAAGTGGACCAAGCGGTAAACGGTCAAAATAAATTTTTTTACTAATTTTAATATTTTAGTTAATGATTATAAAGTGCTATTAGGTGAGCTAATTCATTTAATTTTTATTTTAATTAGAAAATTAGTGAATCAGACAGCTTATATTATTATAAGGATTACTATTTTTGTGTCTGACGAGATGAAATGAAATGTTTGTCTTCCATCTTTAATTTTATATTTTTGATGAATAAGATAATATATGATAATCTTTAATTAAAAAAATAAAATTCCTTGATGCAATATATAAATTTTGGCTTAATATGTAAATTTACTACTGTCCTTTTTATAAAAAATACTGCGACATTCTCGATTTTTACTTTAACCATTGAGCACTTCAATATATAAAATTAGATTTGCTTGATTTATTGAACACCTTAACTTATAAAATTAAGTCAATTAAACATTTATTCAATAATTAAAAATATAAAATTATTATTCTAAAAGCTACACTAACTGCATATCAAATCAATATTTTATAGATAAAAGTCAAAAACTTTAAAATAGATTATTTCAAGTGTAAAAACGCTTGAAATTATTGAAAAACTGAATTTAAGAGTGCCACAACGTTTTTTTTTTTTTTTGTCAGACGGATAAAACTTTGAAACATTTTAAACATTTTTTCCATTTTTTTTTTTTTTACTAAGAATTGGTTCTTTTATTTCGTAGGTATGGTATGCATTTATTGACCAATATTTACTCTTTTTTTTAAGGAAAATCAGTTTTTATTTTTAAGACATATCATATATAAAGAACTTATTAATTAATTTTATCCAATCTATTTCTGGAAATAGAGCACTTAGCCTTACAAAATTGATGTTTGAAATTATTTTTTTTTTTTAAAAATTCAATTAATATAGTTTTTTTAATTAATTGCAGTTGATTAGCTAAAACACAAGAATATTTAATAATGGACGATTTGACAATTATTTCTTTTTATCTTTTCTCTGACCGGTGAAGCAATATAATGAGTTTGATGTGAAATGTTTACTGAAAGGCTAATTTGGTCTATTGCGTGTTGGCCTTTGATAGTGAAACTGAAAACCACATGGCTTTTGACTATTTGATGGTGGCGTTAGGAAGAAAAAATTGTCAAACCATTTTTTTAACGTGTTGGACTGTTGGTGCTCAATTAATATGAATATAAATTTAAATTTTACTCTATACTTATGTAAAACATTTTCTAGCACTTGTAAATTTTACAGTGAGTCCTCTAAAATTATGAATTATTATAATATTGTTGACCTCTGCACACTATCAATAATAATCTTTTAGTATTTTCATATTTTGTCTTTTATATGTAAATATATGATTATTATAACTTTTGAAATTTCATATTCTCCAACGACCGATGAGTGTTTAATTATTTAATTTAACAAGTTGAAACGTACGATAGAAAAATTTTATGAATTAAATTATTAAATATATCCAAGTTATAAGTTTAAATGTTTAATTAGTCAAAATAAAACTTAAGAGTGCTGTAAATTTTTCATATAACGTACAAATATAAATTTATACAAGGATTAAATAAATGAAAATGAATTGTATTTTTAAATAAATTTTACTTGTAAAATCGTAGTTGAAACTTAAAATTGCGACTATCACCTTCAACACAAGCGTAAAAATAAGTATTTTATATATATATATATATATAAGTTAGATTTTGATTTTTCTTGGTCTTGTTTGGACTAGGAATGGTTGAAAGCCTTCAGGGCGACCAAGTTTGAAGTATTTGTTAATCTTCCACTTGCAGTTGTCCTTTTACTTCTATTGTCAAAACTCAGGAAACAATATTAGAAAAGGAGAGTTGAAAACTTCAAACCTGTATATTTTTCTACAAATATCCACTGAATTTTTTTTTTTTAAATATACTTTCTTATTATTTCATTGTTTTCTAGTTCTAGGAAAATCAAAATTTATAAAGATATTTTAAGAAACAAAAAGCTTCATAATTCAAATTTAAAATTTTTATTTTTTCTTATTAGGGAAAAATCCATGTAATTAATTAAGCTTGTCCATTTATAATTTGAGATCTTAAATTACTAGAACATAAATGTAGAAAAAGACATTCTACCCATCTTCAAATTAAAAAAAAGATCCACAATTTTTAACAAAATGCAAAATATTCAATGTATTAACACATGTTTGTACTAAAAAGAGAAAAATAACAAAGTGACATATAAATGAATATAACAAGAACAATGTGCTATTATAGTTTTATATTTAGATAAATTGAAAAATGTCACGATTCACAAGAACATTTTGCTGCTCAGTCTTATATTTCAGCGAAGAGTTATGCTTATTATATAATCAGTTTGGAATCGATAGTAGTTAAAAAAATATAAAAAAAAAGTTCACATTTTTTTTTTACAAAGTGCAAGACACGATGTATTAAAAAAAGTATGCAGCCAGAAAAAAAAAATTTTTAATATAACAAATGAATGAATATGGCAAGAAAAATGTGCTATTATTATAGCCTTGTTTTATTTTTTTTGTTAAAGAGTTATGTTTATCATGTATGATTAACATTCTAAGAAACAATCTAAAATTTTTTAGCAAAATTCAAAAAATGTTCAATAAAGGGACAAAAAAAAGATTAGGCAGAAAATAGAATGATCTAAAGTAACAAATTAAGGAATGAATAACACAAGAAGAATGTGCAATTTGAACTTATGGCTTTCAATGACTAAGAGAACAACTATATTCAAACACAGAACTGAACGTTAAGGTCAGAGATAGATGATGAAAATGAACATTCAGCTTTCTTATCCATAAAAATTTCATCTGGTTTTTCTATTAATTTTTTATATATATTTCCATTTCATATTTCAAACATGATAAACATGTTCATCTCATAATGTTTTTTTTTTTTTTTCCGCATCCAACAAATTCAAATTCATCCACCAGAAAAAACTGATTTTGCAGAAACAGCTTCTTCTTCGTCACAATTATGTTTCGTTCCAAAGTCTTTGTTTATTCCTTTTGGAATAATTACCAAGTTGAAAACATGGGCTCTGGGTTGGGCCTAGCAGCCTTATATTAATTTCTTCCGGTTAAAAGCCCACTAACTACATGAAGTCAGGAATAATTTTTTCTTTTTGGTTCTTTTATCTTCTTTACTCCACCATAAATCTAATCAATAAACCCTATAGGTAAAATTATATTTTTTTTAATCTAAATGTGAAAAAAATCTTGTCAAATAAACGTTAAAAGTATCTAATACAAATCATAGAAAATTGATCTAAAATGCTGCAAATTAAAAAAAAAAAATCAAGTATTAAAATCAAAGAATGATGAGTTAAACTAAATTAAAAAGTTTAAAAAATAAAACGAGGGAACAGCAGCAGAAAACAGCAGCCAAGGGATAATTTATTAATTTTGAAATAAAAAACATATCTTTCAGCTCTTTATTTTACCCTTTTTTAGCTGATTAACCAAAAAGCATATAAAATATAATAGAGTTGTCATATAAAAAAAAAAAAACAAACATAGAGCATTAAATCAACTTTTTAAAAATAAAAATTCCAACTAGTAACATGCTATAACCAGCAGGTGAGACCTCACTGATCACCATCCTTAAATTGCAAGAATTATTGTAATGGTAATACTATTCTTCCAGATACCATCATATATCAATAATACAGAAAGAATGGCAACTGACTTTGCAGCCAACTCGCATTACTAAAGGAAATTACGAAATTATTCTAGTATACAACCGAAAGATCAAAAGAACCAACATGTTCATCTGTCTAAACAACTAATAACAGTGGTGATGAAGTATAATGGGTACATTCAAATCATTCTGAGTTTTTAAAGGTCGCGTCTACTTCTTCATAAGAAGAACGACAGTGTGAGCTGCGATACTTCTATTCTCGCCTAAGCTATCGACCTTCTCATGAGTTTTAGCTTTCAGATTTATGACAGAAGGATCTGCTCCAAGCAGTTTACATAAATTTTCTCTGATAGCTTCCTTGTGTGGGCTCAGTTTTGGTCTTTGAAGAATCAAGGTGGCATCTAAGTTTCCAATGTCATAGCCTGCCTCATGCATAAGTCTCACCTGCAACGAAACATATTGCAAATTGTTTAGATGAAGAAATATAAGTTGTATGTTGTTTTGCCCTAACTACAAAGAATTTTCACTAACATATGTTGTTGCATTGATGGAAAAGCTTAACCAGAGGTAGAAAATTAATGAACACCGACGAATACTACACTAAATGGTGATGTGCTTCTGCATAGACTGTATGTTTTACCTTTAGAGGGCCAGATAAATGACCCAAACTGATCTCCTATAGATTATCCTTACACATGTTACGAATTCTGAACTCTCTGATCCAAACTAGATACATTCCCGCACCATCAACCAGAAAATATCACTATTTTAAAATATTTATCCTTGCCATTTCAACCAGGAACTTTGTTTAATTATCTGGTTTCTCAAGGCAGTGCAACTAGTATTCAACTTTAAGATAACGTTTTCTTCTATGAGACAGAATATCATATCAGTTTACCATGACCTTCAATATCAAGTTCGTAAATATGGTATATAATTCCAAGTGTTGAAAGAATGAAAATTAGAATAATCAATTTCTCAAAGCATACCAAGAAGCAGATCTTGGCTTGTGAATAATTTAGCACAACTCAATGCACGTACATAAACATAATGTTGTGTTTGAATAGGAAATTTGAAATCCAAAGTTTTAAATTTGAGATTTAATTCAAATTGTTTAAATCAAGATTGATCAAATGAAGGACAACGCAACATTGCTCAACCAACTAGTGTTATGCAAGTTTGAAACTAGGCCTATATTCATCATCAAGCAACTTTTCATACATTCACAATCTGACCAATAAAGGAAAATCCATGCATTTTGACCTCATTCAAGTTAATTTTGTCTGAAAAATTAAACTCTTAACCTTGCATTTCAAAGTTCCCCAAATGAAATGCAACCAAAAGAAGATAAATATGTTAGCCAACAAGAAAACAAATGAGAACCTATCAAGAACTACAGATAACCATAACCACATCAATAAAAAGAATTAACAGCTTCTTTGATGACAACAGACGGTGGTATTCTACTGCACTAAGGCTAAGTGTAACAAATCCTCAGCAATTCCTTCTCTTAAACTCCATTATCTAAACTAGAGATCACTGAATATTTTCAAGCTCGGTTTCATTTATATCATCAATCAGAAATCCACACTTCTAAAGATTTGTGCTAATAAAGCACCATTTGATTTCCTATGTTGAAGTAAATACCCTAAAACCAATTCCGCTGAAAGAGTATTGGCATCCACGAAAGGAAATGGTAGTTAATCTCATTTGAAAATCAGGTAGCATACAACAGCGCAACTCAATTCAATCCCAAAATAGGTTGTTTGTCTATTCTGTGTTCGTTCCAAAAGACAATTTTTACAAACAGAACAAAAGAAAAAAAAAAAAACTCACAGCTTCTTGGATAAAAACAGATGATGGTGCTCCTTTCCACTTGGGATCAGAATCTGGGAATATCTGCCCAATATCAGGCAGCCCCAGTGCACCCAATATTGCATCCACAACACAGTGCAATAACACATCTCCTGCAAACAAAAATTACATTTCAATTTTTTAAAAATTAATAAATTAAACTAAGTTTTGATTGGTTGAACTTATACAAAGTAATATTCGAAACCCAGATATTGAATCTTCCCAAAATTGAAATGGAATTATAATCGATTCATTTCGAAATGAAAACAAAAACATGAAATCAGAATTAAAAGAAGTACCATCAGAGTGAGCTTCGCAGCCTCTATCGTGCGGAACATTAATCCCACCAATGATCAAAGGGTAACCAGGCTCTAGCCGATGAAGATCGAACCCATGACCCACTCTAAAAGGCAAAGACTTTGGCCCTTTACTGGAGGTTGCGGGTCCATCGACCTGCACAACAGTGGTTCCTGCAACTGCCGATATGGAAAGTGAGGTAGTTCTTCTGAGAGAAAGAGGCGAGGCTATTGCTTTACCATGTCTAGACAGTAAAGGAATAGAAATAATCTTATTGTTGTTGTTGCTAGCGGAGATGGTGTTGGTAGTGATTGGAGAATAAGAGGTGTACAAGTGAGTGGCCATTGCCGTTGAGTTATTTTGCAGAGAAAGCTCTGTTATTGTGCGTCTTTGTTTTTGCGACTGTTTATTTATGCTTAAAATTGTGGTACACACGGCAAGCAGTGACTGTCTTTTTGTCCGGTTACTGATTTAATTAAAAATGGGGTGGTTAATAATGTACAACCCTCCATGCATATGGTACAAGCACATATTGCTGAGTGATTATTTTTTATCCTTATCCCTGACTCTTTTTCTTTTTACTTTTCCATTCATATGTTTCTATACTCCGGATAGAGTGACATTTAAATTAATTTTTTAATTTTTTAATTTTTTTGCATAATTATTTATAAAATATAAATTATATTTTAATAATTACTAAAACAATTAATTGTATCAAATAAAAAATAGTCGGACAGCTTGATCAGTCTTAAGGTTGGATGGAAATTAAAATAAGAAAAAAGATCAAACTCGGACAGCTAGCGTTTTGGGGTGAAAGATTTGACTGCTGCACCTACAAGGTCAACAACATACAGATATTAGTTATAATATTTTATTATCTTTAGCATTTAAGTAGTGGAATCTACACATATATAGTCACATGCAACATTCATTATATTCCAATTTTTAATAAGACAAAACAAAAATGAAAATTTTGATATATTTCTGGAGTTGAATTCAAACTAGTTTTTTGGAGTTTTGTCAACAAAAGCCAGCTCTGTTTTTTATTTATAGTGATCAATCTTGGCAGCCATATGACTTCACCATCTACAAAATACCAGACTCTGAAGTTTCTTATTATATAAGTTTCTTTACAGAATGAAGAGTTAGTGGCGTCCACTTTCTCTGACCAACATTAGAATATGAAATAATCAACATCCATAAATATGAACATTAGAAATACGTAATAGATTTGCATCTATGTGCATCAACTATCAAAATGCTCTCTCTTTTGTGAATTAGATTTGTATAGCAACTAGCATAAAATCCATCCATAGAACAAAAAAAGAAGAAAAGTCAAAACAAGGTAAAGCATAGTTAATCATCTCACCCTTTGTTATATGATCATCCAACTATAAATCTGATTCCTACACAGAAATCTACATGTATGGCTTCAAAGTTCATAGCAATGGACAAGCAAATCCATTTCAGTTGACAACTTCACAAACTCGTATTTACATCGACAACCAGCATTTTGGACCCACGGACAAAGCTTAGCATGAGGTGGAGGCCCTAGGTTGCTTGCATCCATGCTCTGGTATTAGACTTTCAGAGGCAGCTCTCTTGGGTCTCAACTGTAAAGAGAATGCAAATAAGTAGCTAGAAGAAATCTCTGTAGCCATCAGATAAAACAGTTTAATGTGTGAATGATAAATATGTGACATAACAAATTAATTACCAACCCTCTCTTCAGCTCGCTCATAGAAGTTTCTCAGAAGAATATTTTTGGCTTCAGTAGATATCACTGCAAAGATGATTTTCAGACAAATGAGACATAAATGAGGAAGTATTATTTAGATTAACTGAATAACAGAAAACTGTATCACAAAAATAAAAATTAGGAAATCCATCTTATCAAACTCTCGAGTTTTTGAAATCTAGACCACCACTATTGTAGCGCAAGCTTTTCATAATAAAGGTCTATCCAGGGTGCAATCAAGGATGATGAGCAAACTCATACTCTCTAAAATATAGAAAATTATATTTGAACCCCCAAAATTTCAGAAGATTTCATTTGGCCCCCAAAACAATTTTCCTAGCTCCACCCTTGCGTGTTCAAAACGTGTACCTTATGTTATTCATGTCTATTTATAATAGGATTTTATGAAATATTGAAAAAAGTAATAGGTCTAGAAAAATTATTACAAGATTAATCATAATAACATATTTTTCAAGTTGTTCAGGAGCTTTTGAATTGAGCTTTAAAATGATCAAGATTATTTTCAACAAATAATTGTGCTCAAATGTTTTGTTCAATGATGATTTATTTATTTATTTAAATGAGCTTTTTAACGGATCAAACTCGAGCGAAGCTCAAGCAACTTGGATCATTCCAGAGTGCTACTTGGGTCTTGAGGAAGTAGGCCAGATTCTGCGAGAGCTTAATCATATCTTTTCTCATGCATGGTCATCTAACTCGATCACCCTATTTTCGTTGCATGAATTTGTTCATCTATGTTTAATTTTGGTCTTGTAGAATACTTTCTCAGCCCAAGAAGGTATTCCTTTTGCACTTTTTCTGCACTAGAATTGCACAATCTTTTAAACTATTTTATTTGTCTAAGAAAGGGAAAAGAGGAAAAGAAGCATCTCTGAATAGCATAAACATGCTTGGTGCTACAGTAGCTGTATAATGTTTCTGACAAAAGAGACTGCCATATCAGTATAGAGTTGTATGCTACCAATGGCATGATAGAAAGAAGTTAATAGGAAGAAAACAACACAGCAAGAAAATGGCATTTGACATAGATATACATATACTCCCACGTAAGAGAGATGCAACAGAAATACATTCTCATAATTAATATCATCACATAATTAAAATCAGTAACAACATTCAAACGTCATCACATGCCAAACCAAATGTCCATATTTCTATTTGTAAGAATCATGGAGATGAAAATTGGAAAGTTCTGTTTCTTACCTTGATCTGGTGGTGGAAGAGTCCGGCTATGAGTAGGATGATAAGTAGCAGGAGTCATTTTCTACACACAACATGAAAAATAAATGCGATCCATAAAAGGATGGAAATAAATGTCATTCCCATAAAGAGTATTACAATTAAGTATTTGAGGAGAAGAATCTCATATGCTTAATGTTGACAAATAGAGAAACATTTCAACCAAGAAAGTTAATAAAATACAGTCCCAAAAACAATCAATCATATTGAATTGAATACTTGATGTGGAACTTGAACAGCGCCAATAGGACACCAGCCTCCCCCTGGAGGTTGTAAGTAGTAGATCATAGCATAGAGCTAACACAAGCTTGACCAGAAAACTCTGGTCGCCAAAAATTATGAAATGAAATATCATAGGAAATCTTAAGTCTGAACAAGTTGCAAACAGAGAGTTTCCCAATTGTTGGGGAAGCGACTTTAATGACCACCACCAACCCAAGCTATGTAACCATTGATACTGAGCAGAGAATGACATTCTCAAAATTAATCCTTACATCAGCAGAAGTACATACCAGCGTGTCTTTATATAAGGCAGCATTCTAATAATCATTTTGCTCTTCTGATATCAATGGCTCTTCCTCTCTACAGTTTTTATTTCAAGAAGTTTCATGTTACAAGTTTCCTATTTAGGCATCACACAAGATTTTTCACCTCAGCAGAGAAGCTGCCAAAACGAGTCTTAGCATGATTCCAAGTATCAACAATGTATATAGAGCATTCACATTCCAAAAGAAACTATGATGTATCAAACTTTTGAATTTTATTGTCAACGGATTATCAGTTCATAAATCAAGAATTAAGCTTATGCTTCTTATGTTAGACAGGAGATGTTTCCTCTGTATAGTTATTACAAATCAAACCACAGAACAAAGCTGAAAATATAGCAAGAGATAGTTCAAGAAAACAGAATAAAAAAAACTGGGAGAAGAAGAAATAGGACGAGGGCAGCAAATAAATAATGGGTGGAGCATTTATGCTTGACTTCATTAAATATATATATTTGCTGCTAAAGCACAACCTTTTCTCCAAAATCCTGCTTAATAATTTCAATCTAGTCATCCTTTTTGGTGTAGAATGCATAAACTAAACTTAATTCATCATTCTTCACTACATCTCTTTATTCCTGTGGCTCAAAAGTTTAGACTCTAACAAATTCTAGTTTTTAATCAAATAAACAGATAATGATTGTACCGAAATGATTAAGCACAGCTGGAGGTGGCACATAAACAATGGCATAGCGTTGATCTCAGAAAGATCGAGACATTGCATTTACTCATTTGACACTGAATAGCTACATATCATAGAAATGAGAGAGATTCAAGACATTAAAAGTCTATTCAGGGAAGCATATAAACTGCATAATGTGTTTCGTGGCTTCAGGACATTGGCAGCTTAAACTTCACATCACTATCTTTTCAAAACCAACATGTAAACAGAAAACATCTCGGTATATTATTTGGAATAGCTGCAGCCTATGATTTTACTCTGCCTACATTTAATATCGATTGCTTTCCAACTATAATCCAATCTAGTTAAGCCCTAATCCCCGTTGTACAGAGCTAACAATAACAACATGATAATTTCTAACAACTTAAGAACTGATTTGCAGTCACAACATCACTAGCATTATCATCACAATATATAATCCCATCTCATGAATCCATATTCTACATAAGACGCATATCGTACAAATGCCATCTTAAGTGAAATCGTCAAACAATTTCCTAATCAGACCACCATTAATAACACAGAGAAAACCCAGAAAGGAAATCTAAAAATGGATAAAAAAAATCATAAAAATTTTTTTTTTTTAAATCCCATTAAGAACACAACAAAAGCAAAACCTCGACTCAATTCTTAGGACTAGCACTAAATAAATTAAGAGGAGTTCCAGGGTTCATTAAACATAAAATGAAAACTCTAGATAGTTATCGCAGTTAAAAATAAAGAGGAAAAAAAAAAAAAAAAAGCAAATTGGATTGGGTTGAATAAAACTTACCGAAGGATTGGCCGGATCAGTAGGTCGAAGCTGGCTAAAATTCTGAGGGTCAAAAGAAGGCCAGTCACCGAGCATAGACCCCATGTAATGCGGGGTTTCGCTGGCCAAATCTATGTAGATAGAGAAAGAGATTAGGATTTAGGAGAGAAGACGATACAGTAGGAAGCGGCAATGGCTGAATTCTAGAACCAGGTTTGCACGACAATTTTGGCCTATAAATATTAAGTTGCCCAGTGTCATTTTAGCTTTAGCCCAGGCACTGCTAAGACCAATTTAATTAATAGTATTCCACCTTAAACTCTTTTATCCATGCATAATGTAAAATTTATAGTCATACATTGGATTTCTGACTTATGATGCGATAATCTTATACTTTCATTTTTGTTAGATAAATTTTCATTTAGTTGAGAAAAAAATAAAATCACAATTCATTGTTTTTTTTTATTAATAATGTAATTTAAATCTATTATTTTTTTATTCATATATTATATTATTTAGCAAAACAATAGAATGTAAAAATTTCATTGATTTCACAATTTATAGAATATATATATTATAAATTTGTAAAATCCATGAATTTTGGATTTCATTGATCCAAATGACTTGATAATATACGAATTTAGATGCTTTTAAATAATTTAAATTCTAATAATTATATAAGATAATGAAATGGATAAATTCCGGTCTTTAATATGAGATTTCTCTTTTTCAAAATGATTGAATTGAGACTATAATGGAAGTCATCAATCCTATAGATTTTGACTTTTTTTTTTTCAATCAAATAAAATAATCTAATGAATTTATATAATATTTAAATTACATCATCCAGCTAAATGAAACGAAACGATACATTAAATTTATTCGCGAGTTTTTTTATAATGTAAATTTGTCAATGGAAGAGAGGATGAAAAATAAAGATTTTAAATATTTTTTACATTCATGAATTTCTTTCTTCTTTTTAGATTTTCACACAAATTATCATTTATATTTCTGTTATTCTTTCTTTATTTGTTTTGTGATTAAAAATAATTAGCAAATAAAACACGTATTTTTATCGGTTGTCAATTCTAATACTCTATCAATATGATTGGATATTATTAGAAAAAAATCAAATTAAATTATTGTAATTGTTATTTTATTAAAATCGCAATTCATTGTATAACTAACTATTTTATTGAAAAACTATCATTCGACATTTTATGCTATTATTTACTAATAAAATGCGCTTATTATGAACTATATTAGAACATTCGCGCTTAAAAATAATAATTATTACTAGAATAATTCAATTACAAGTATTTTTTATTGATTAACTTTAAGAGTTGTAAGCATTTAAATTATGAAAAATATATTTTAAAAGCATGTTTATATTATGTGTAATATAAAGATGAAAAAAAAGAAAAGTTCTGTCGCCTTATTTTAAAAAATTCGGACACCGTGGCCACAAAGCAGAAATAGCAAAACTGGAATAAGGGGAACCCACCAGCCGAAAAAACGATGTCGTTTTTTCGAAATATAATCCGTCCTTGTGTTACATGGTAGAACCGTCTAGGTTAAAAGAAATACAGACGTCGATTGTTAGGGTCCGCAATTCGCAAAAATAGTTTACGAAGCAGATCAAATCCTAACCGCTTAAAGTTGCATCCGCACCGAACCCAAAACCCTTGGCGATCACCGTATACTTCCTCCACTTCACCTTCTAGGTTTTTGCTTCTTTCTGTCCTCAAAAGCTTTTCCTTTCTTCTCTTCGTTACTCCACCAAGGTAAAATATACGGCTACAGCTCGCGGCGATACAAAGAAGAAAAAGAACTAGAAAAATAAATAAAGGCGGCAGAAATGGCCGCACCCGAAGCCCCTGTCTGTTATGTCGGCGTCGCACGTGCATCCCCTGCTTTCCGCCTCATGAAACAAATGGTACGTTTGTGTGTGTGTGTGTGTGTGTGTGTGCGCGCTCCGTTTGGTTTTTTATTATCATGTTTGTTTGTGTAGGGATGGGAAGAAGGAGAGGGGCTAGGGAAAGACAAGCAAGGGATCAAGGGATATGTTAGAGTCAAGAACAAACAGGACACTACAGGTATTTCATTTTTCCTTTTTAGTTTTATTTTCAACACACCTTCCTATTTGTTTTTCTATTTGTTAGAGTTGAGCTCTATGCTGTGTTTGGTTGATTAGAAACTTTGTGACAATGGAAAATATAACATGAGTTTTTGAATAATATAATTTTGGCTAATGTAATCAAACTTATAAGTCGTAAGCTGTTTATGATGTAGCAAGCATTTGTTGGCAAATGGAAACATTAATATTCATTTTTTTTTTTTTTAAACAGGTGTTGGTGTAGAGAAGCCGAGCAATTGGGCATTTGATACAACTCAATTTGATAGCATACTCAAGAGATTGAAAGTGGTATTTATGCTGCATGTTAATTATTCAAGATTGACTTTGTTACTTGTAACTAATAAGTACACTATTTTTCAAGCAATTTGTTTATGACTTTTTTATGTGCACTTTTTGTATTTAATCAACAGCAAGCAGCGCATACAACTGATGAAGGTATAGTATGGTACCTTGGAATTCAGATAAAAATGTAATTAGATGTCCCATTTATAATTGTTGACTGACAATTATAGGTCCTGTCTAAAACAGTTGTTGAAAAGAAGAACAAAGAAGAAACAACAGAGACTGGTGTATCTACTGGTCTCCAAGAACCAGTTGTTAAGGCTACTCGACCACAGGGAAGGTTAGTGCAGTAAAATTTCACTTTTGTTTATATTTATCAATTTTCTACTATGTAGATGGTAACTAGCTTTACAGTAATTCAGTTAAGATAATTGCTCAATTGCATCTGCATATCACTTGTCCAGTAGCAATTGCTTTTTCTAATGATATATTTTCCAAATTGTTGCAGGTATAAGAGAAGAGAGAGAGGAAAGCTTGTCCAGTCATATTCTTCGAAGGATCTTGAAGGGATTCTAGTAAGTTCTAAACTTTGGTGACTAAACATCTGTTAAATGGTCAAAGCAGGGATGTTGAGTACTTTGATGCTTTTGGTGTTTTATAAGTTGGAATTGGATATGGTTTATATGCTCAAATCAACTTGTTAGTTTCTCAATGAATTAATGGATTGTCTGCTTGGAAGCCCATAATCTAAATATCCCATTTTCTACAAATTCTGCTTATCTATTTTTGCTAATCAGAATTTGTTCTTGTTTAGGTTGTGAGATATAATTCAAAGCGTGTCTTGTTTGTCTGTCACAACGTTTTAGCACGTACTAATCAGAATTTGTTCTTGTTTAGGTTGTGAGATATAATTCAAAGCGTGTCTTGTTTGTCTGTCACAACGTTTTAGCACGTACTAATCAGAATTTGTTCTTGTTTAGGTTGTGAGATATAATTCAAAGCGTGTCTTGTTTGTCTGTCACAACGTTTTAGCACGTACTAATCAGAATTTGTTCTTGTTTAGGTTGTGAGATATAATTCAAAGCGTGTCTTGTTTGTCTGTCACAACGTTTTAGCACGTACTAATCAGAATTTGTTCTTGTTTAGGTTGTGAGATATAATTCAAAGCGTGTCTTGTTTGTCTGTCACAACGTTTTAGCACGTACTAATCAGAATTTGTTCTTGTTTAGGTTGTGAGATATAATTCAAAGCGTGTCTTGTTTGTCTGTCACAACGTTTTAGCACGTACTAATCAGAATTTGTTCTTGTTTAGGTTGTGAGATATAATTCAAAGCGTGTCTTGTTTGTCTGTCACAACGTTTTAGCACGTACTAATCAGAATTTGTTCTTGTTTAGGTTGTGAGATATAATTCAAAGCGTGTCTTGTTTGTCTGTCACAACGTTTTAGCACGTACTAATCAGAATTTGTTCTTGTTTAGGTTGTGAGATATAATTCAAAGCGTGTCTTGTTTGTCTGTCACAACGTTTTAGCACGTACTAATCAGAATTTGTTCTTGTTTAGGTTGTTGAGACTGAAGCTTTTTATCCTGAAGGTATAATAATGCAAGTAGACAATCACTAATTTTTATATTGGTGATAGCATTTTTGGATGTTCAAGCCAGTTTTTTGTCTATGTTGCGTAAAGGCAATATTGAAAGCTCTGAATTTTCTTATTTTAGTTGTGCTACTCTTTTTTACGTCTATCATCTATTCTAAGATAACGTGTCGTTGGTGGAACCAATCAGTGTACTTTGAATGAAGTGCTTGTAAACATTTCTGTCTTTATCCAATGCTCTTGTAAATTTTGCATATGCAATGTTGTTAGAGGTCTTTCTCCGCATAATTCATCTGTGCTGTTCCTATAAGTCTTTTTGGATTTTCTCAGCAACTATTAACTGTTTCTCTGCTTGTTGGAAAACATAATTTAATTAATGGATTGTAGAAATAACCTCAGTATATTGTCACAGAATTCAAAGTTGAAGAGGTTTCTCCAGAATGGTGGGGCTATAAATTGGGATTTGTCCCAGGAGGTTTACTTGGAGCTCAAAATAAAAAGAAATCAAGCAAAACTGGAAATGCTCAAAAGTGTAATGAGAGAACTGCATTTCTTGAAGAAGATCAAGAGAACCTTTACAAACTTGTCCAAGTATGCGTCTTTTCCAAATTCCCCTTCCTGTTTGCTATGTTTTTGTTTGAGTATTATACTTGGTTTTTGAAAATATGCTTGAAAGATGTGTATTTATCATTCTCTCAGTGTGTACCTGTTCCTTTTTTTCCTTGTGCTCCAATTGAACTTCTTGAAATGAAGCAAAATGAGTATAGTGCAGCACAAGTTCAGTGTTAGTTATCATACATGCTGACAGAAAGGTTGAATTTTGGCTACAGCGTGTTAGGATTAGAATGCTAGAGGAGAGGACCAACAAGGATTTCAGACTATTTACTGATGGGATTTTTCTGCTTCTGCAATTTCCAGGATAATGCCACAGCTGGAAAGCAAGGACTGGGCATTAAAAGTCAACCAAAGAAAATAGCCGGTGTCCGCTTCCAGGGAAAAAAGACATCTTTTAGTGACAGTGATGATGAGGATTCTGCTGATGATGATGTGGATTCTGCTGATTTTGATTCCTCAGAAGAAAACCATAATGATGCGCCAGCAGTGGAGAATGTCGAAGAGAAAGTTGATAATGAGATTTCTGCCAATTTTGGCTCCTTAGGAAAAAGAAAACGCGACGCTCCAGGAAAAAATGTTGATGAACAAAAAGTAAAGTTGAAAAAACTGTGCAAACGAATTCTACGTCAGGTGAGACTATGCAATATCTCTGGCTATATAAAACTATATTGTCATTTCTCTAACTGGTGATTATATCAGGTACCAGGGGAGTCCTTAAAGCTAAAAAAGCTGAAAGTTCTTATTGAAGAGCATTCATCTACTGTTTTTTCCAATTTCTCTTCAAAAAGAGATGCTCTTACTCACCTGAAACAAAAGGTAAGGATCATAACATTCTCATCTCATGCCCCTATTATTTTGTGGGCATGACAATTCAAATTGTTTTTCCCATTTATAATATTTATTTTTCTAGTAAGTCAGATTGAATACTCATCAAGTTGGGTTTATTTTCTTCCATGAAGAGAATTTCCACTAAATTTTTTAGAACCTTGCATCCCCCCATTCCCTATAACTTAAGTCCTGCCTTAAAGAATATGTTGACATTTCTTTTCGTGTCAACAGTTGGAAGGCAGTCAGAAGTTCTGTGTAGATGGAAAGAGAGTGAGTCTCATGTGCAGAAGAGGCTGAAAATTTTGGTTAGGAGTTCAGTTGCCTGTACCGGTCTGTATATTGCAGCGGCTAATCAGATTTACAGTACCATGCATTTATTAATTCATAGTGATAAATTGGAGGTTTTTTCTGTAATCATTCTCTATTTATATCTTTGGTTGTGTAAACGCAATAATTATCATTAACAATTTTGTTTGGGTAATGCGCGAATGACAATGAATATCATTCAAATTGTTCTGAAGTCATTACCCTGTTCTCGAATTGAATCTTTCTAGTGTTCTTATTTTCTCTCAACCGTAAGGTGCTGCCATAAGATCACCTAATTGTCCAACCGAGAACGGTGGACGGTTCTTGAATGCTTTATTTTTTTGGGAACAATTTCTAATCATCTGCTTGGTTTAACAAATATGAAAATTCCAAGTCTTGCTACATTAGTTTTTTTCTCTGTCGATTCCAATTTCTTTTCTGTAGGAAATTTCTCCTGCCATTCATGGATGACAAAACACGAGAACGTTTCTCTCTGGTGATTGAATTTGAATGACAGAAAATTATTCTATGGTCTGTGAATGGGAAGGGAACTTTTTCCTTGTCTTAATAATAAATAATAGCGGAGAGAATGGTGGGTTCATTGCGTGCTTATCTCGAATCTAGAGCAGTAAATGGGCTTTGACTGTAGGCCCATTCAACTTGAAGAAGCCCATAAATAAGGAATGGATAGTTGAATATGGTTACCACCTAGTAGCGTGATTGTGACGTCATGCTGCGTGATTCTTTATTGTTAGTATTATTATTTTTTTCTTATGCATTTCACATATCGTACACATGATGCATATATATATATATTGATTCTTTATTGTTAGTATTATTAATTTTTTTCTTAGCATTTCACATATCGTAGCACATGATGCATATATTATATAATATATAATATAATATTAATATATATATATATATATATATATATATATATATATTATATTGATATTGTACACAGTAACAAAAAGTCAGTGTGACGTCGTTTAGTTAATTATTTGTAATGTAGACTAAGAATCAAAATATAGCGTCAAGTAAGTTTCAATTTTAAATAATTAATTTATAAATATTACTTCAAGATTATGAGTTGTCAAGACTTAAAATAAAAAAAATTCAAAATTCCTGCACAAACAAAATAAGCCAAGTAATTAATTAGATCTTTGTAATAAACATGATTTGAAATATTAAGCAATTATGTTATTTAATTTTACATTTTCATTTATATAATAACAATTTTTCAAAATTTTATTAGGAAAAACAATAGCGTAAAATTGATAACGAAGTCCAGCACCGTCAGTCCGTCACATATGCAGGTAAGTAATTTCGGTGGTCAAAGTGTTAGGTTGTACATGAAACAAGTTGAACTCATAAATTATTGACTTGATGGAGGTTGAATACAAAAATAAACAAATAACTTAATATTGAATTTAATATGATTCTTCAATATGATTATAATTCAAAACTCTCCTCACTTTGCATCATCAATTTCATTTTTGTTAACGTAAAATTTTCATTTTTGTTAACGTAAAATTAATATATATATATAATATTATATTATATATAATATATTGGAAATAGTTTATTTAATATATGGAAATAGTTATTTATATTATATTTACATTTATTGTTCGTATGCCCAATTAATAATTATTTGAAAAAACTATCATCTTTTACTATTGTTATTATTATTATTTTCTTACTTACGTCTTATTCGAATTGTCGTTATTTAAGTGTGTACATATAATGTAAATAAACCTTTTTCATATATGTATATATATAGATAACTTCATATGAAATTATAATGATTAGCACAATGTTAATTTCCTACAAGGGTGTGGAATTTATCCTTCCAATTTTTCTAAAATAAAACAAAGTGTCTTGTCTTCTAGAATTTAATCTTCAAAACGTACATAATTAATAATTACAAAGAAAAGACACATGCCCTTCTTCCTTTTCTAGCGTAAATCTTTGAAACCCAAAGAACAAAACCAACACGTGAAATATTTCTAGTACTTTTAAAAATATAAACCCTTTTTATCCAATTTCAACTCAAAAAAAAAAAAAAAAAAATAAATAAAAAATCAAGTTGCCTACTCTTTGTAGACTATGTTCTTAGGCAAAAGAGGCAAAGAGACAAAAAAAGGAGAAAAAGAAAAAGATGAATTTCTGATAATTTTGATTTTATATAAAAAATTCGATGCACAGCAATATTTAGGGTGCAAAGTTAGACCTTGTCTTGACTGGGCAAATGGTTATATGAAGACAATTGAAGCATAATCTTGAATATGTTGTAATAAGAAGATGAGATCATATGGGAGTGGTCCATATGTAAAAATCCCATTTTGGAGCTTCCCCTTTTTGTACGTAACAACATTACTCTTCAATCTTGATAGAGAGGTACCTAAAATTCTTGCAAGTTGGTGACACTGGCCGACTTCTTTTTTTTTTTTTTTTTTTTGACACTGGCCGACTTCTTTTTTTTTTTTTTCTTTTTTTTTTTTTTTTTTTTTTTGACTATGGAATTTTATACACAGAGAGGTACCTAAAATTCTTAAAAATTTCGTACTTATCTGTCAGAAAATTACATAAACTAGTTCTTCTTTCTCATGAATTAATTAATTAAATTGCATGTATCATCAATTTATAATATATGAATGTTAATGAAGGTGGATATGAAATAACTAGCATGTAATAGAAACTCGTTATCTAGCACGAGCCTCCTACTCTCATGCTCGTTTTAAATTGCGAGATATTTTACCATATTCTTTATTTTACATGTATGGGTAATGCAAACAAGTTTCATTTGTTTGCCTTAAAAAAAAAAGATATAAAATAACTAATAATTTCAAATTTCGAAAGTCCCGTGGGATTTATCGTATTAATTCTGGTTATTACTTCTAAGTTAGTGGAATATCATGCATATAAAAATTAAGAAATTATATTTAATATTACCATACATAATACAAGAAGAGTTTAGAAATGGAACAAACCATACAAGTTAATTTATATTTCTTAATTTACCGATGAAAATAAAATATTTTATTGCTTGAGAATACCATACTACAAATTAATTAATTTTAAAGTTGCTTTGATTTGAAAGATTTTGAATATTAAGTTCCAGAAAACATGCCAATTAAAAAAATTAATTGAAAGGAATAATTTGATTTCCCATGCCCACTAGTTTTAGGTAGTGAGAGTTTTGAGGTTTATACAAAGTTCCAATTATTGGTCCATATAGTACATACTAAGCTTTTGACATTTTAAAAAGTCAACCCAGTGGAAATGCAAAACCAGCAAAAAAAGAATAAACCAGTTTAAATGGAAAAGGATCAGACTTCGAAAACAGCTAGCTTTGAAAAGGTCTTCTTCTCCAATATATAAATAAACCTTTCCTTCAATTATTTTCTATTGTTCTCTCTCTCTCTCTCTCCATTTTCTCTTCTCCAACAAGAAAGTCATCACCTTGTTTCCTCTGTGTTTACACTGCAATCTTTAGTTGATGGGCGAGTTTACTTTAACCGAAGACTGGGATCTACAAGCTGTGGTTAGAGGACGCAGTACCAGTGAAGCTGCCTCTGCCAATATCATGAATAATAACCCACCGTCTGTGTTTGCTCCTTTGAATCTTGATCAAGATGATGATCTTTGGAGTTTCTTGGAAATCTTTGAGTCTAAATCAGATTTAGCTGGCCATGAAGAAATTTGCAAACCCTTTTTGCGCCAGCAGGCTCGTTCCGCACAAAGTAACCCTACTATTAATACTTCAAGTTCCGATTCCATGTCTATAATATCCAACTGTGAAATGAAAGAGCCAGATCAGAAACTGCAAAAGCAGCAAGCTTTTTCTGGATCTGCTAGTCCTGTTATTGCAACTGATGCTACTATGGCAGCCAAGTTAAAAAGGAGGTCAGTTAATTAAATTTATATTATTTTTTATATATTTTTGGAGTTCAACAAAGTTTGTGAATTTCTTTTTACTTTTTTTTTTTTTTTTGTTTCAGTCCATTTTCTCAAAGTTTAAAGTCCATTTTCTCAAAGTTTAGATCTCTAATGGGTTTATTAATGCTTCATCAGCAGAAAAAACCAGCAAAAGAGAGTGGTTAAACATGTTACAGAAGATGGCCTCTCATCTGATATGTGGGCTTGGCGTAAATATGGGCAAAAACCCATCAAGGGATCTCCATATCCAAGGTAAAGATTAACTTCAATTGCCTAAACTCTTTCTTTTTTCCATTTCAATCTAGTATAATCCAGGCCAAAAAGTCTAATATTAAGCTTTCGTTAGCTTTGCTGCACTAATTAAAATTGTTTTGCGAATAATGAAATTAAGCTGAAATTAGGAAAAGAAAAAAAGAAAAAAACAGCAGAAAAGGGTTAGCTTTTTAAATGATATGTACATGGAAGGCTCTCTGTCATAGCCCAGCCCATGGTCAATATTTTGCGAATAAGAAATTAAGCTGAAATTAGGAAAAGAAAAAAAGAAAAAAATAACAGCAGAAAAGGGTTAGCTTTTAAAATGAATATGTACATGGAGGTGCTCTGTCAAGCCCAGCCCATGGTCAATATTGGGTCCCGCTTTTGGGGTCCAGCCCGTACGCAGTACCCCCTCACGGTTGTTTGTTTTCAGGCACAGGCCTTTGCAACCCTCGCCCAAAGCGCTCTTCCCAGAGTGCTGGCAGCCAATGGCGATATTCGTCCGCTTTGAGGAGCTTGATAACTACATTCTCTCCACGGTTTTTGTTCCTTTGGGAGTGTGCCTAACTACATTCCCAAAGAAGGCCTCAACCATCGTTCTGGAAGCCAACCCTCTTTAGTACAGAGGACCACGCCGCCTCGTACTTAACCGATGTGGGATTTGCCTAAGGTGTGCTGGCCTTTGGCCAACATACACCCCCCTTGGGGGAATCAGCGTCCTCGCTGAGGTTGCCCCTCCACCGGCCAGAGTGAACGAGGGTCGGCTCTGATACCATTGTCATAATCCCAGGAGGTCACCCATCCTAGGATTTCCGTTAAGCGAGCACGCTTAACCTCGAGTTCTTCCAACTCTCCAGCCATTTCACCACCAAAACGCGTCCAGCAGAGTTGCCAGCGCAGCGCATGGGCCCCACAGGATATTGTCCGCTTTGAGGAGTTGATAACTACATTCCCTCTCACGGCTTTGTTCCTTAGGGAGTTGATAACTACATTCCCCTAAGAACGCGTCCAACCATTCAAGGCACCACCCCTCTTATGTATAGGACCACCCCCTCGTACTTAACCGATGTGGGATTTGCCTAAGGTGTGCTGGCCTTGCTTGGCCACATACACACCCTGCAAGGCCAGCACACCTTAGGCAAATCCCACATCGGTTAAGTACGAGGGGGTGGTCCTATACATAAGAGGGGTGGTGCCTTGAATGGTTGGACGCGTTCTTAGGGGAATGTAGTTATCAACTCCCTAAGGAACAAAGCCGTTATAAAAATATATATAAATAAAAAATAAATATATATTTTTCTGTGGACTAACCTTTTATGGTCAGATCGAGAAGCGTTGGTGTTGCGCCTCTAGATCAAGAAATAGAAAGAACAACATCAACTTTATGGAGAATCAATAGAAGGCGTCAAAGGAGAGATCAAGGTCCCATCCGGACTAGACACCGAAGTGCTGAAACGCCATGATCCAAGCCAGAAGAGGTAGAGAAAATAGAATCCGAATCTGAAGAGTTAGACGATACAGAACAAATCATGGTCAAAGAAAGAACTTTATGTGTGGCAAGGCCAGCACACCTTAGGCAAATCCCACATCGGTTAAGTACGAGGGGGTGGTCCTGTACATAAGAGGGGTGGTTCCAGAACATGGTTGAGGCTTGAGGCCTTCTTTGGGGAATGTAGTTATCAGACTCCCAAAGAGAACAAAACCGTTGAGAAGGGAATGTAGTTATGCGACTCCTCAAGCGGACAATATCGACCATTGGGCTGCGCACTCTTGGAAAAGGCCCTTTTGGGGCGGTTGCAAAGCCCTGCATGAAAACAAATGCAAAGCCTGCCTGAAAACAAAACCGTGAGGGGGTACTCGTACGGGCTGGAGCCCCAAAGCGGACAATATTGACCATGGGCTGGGCTATGACACTCTCTCTATTCAAAGAATTAATATTGTTGTGTTTCACTTTGCTCAACAAAAAGCAGGAGCTACTATAGGTGTAGCAGTTTAAAAGGATGTTTAGCAAGAAAACAAGTAGAAAGAAGCAGTTCTGACCCATCAATATTCATAATAAACTACACAGGTGAGCATAGCCATGCCCATCCTACTCGTAGAAATTCTCTTGCTGGTAGCACGAGAATTAAGTCTACCATGGCTAAACAAGCCGTAGCCATTAATGAACCCAATAACATGCAAAACATTAAAAAAGATGAAACCTTTCCTTCTTCTTCAACAACTCCTTCAATGACTTCCACTGAAGAAGATCAGTTGATGCAAAACGTGAGAATCAAAAATGAGGAAGAAGAACAGGTTCTTGATGATGGTGGAAGCAATGAAATTCCCATGCAGGACATAGTTTTTACCGATGATATGTTTCCAAGCTTAGAGGATTTTGAAGGACTATTTAATATGGATCATCAATTTGCAGCTACTGTTGCTTAAAAGGTTCGAGCTAGCCTTTGCTAATATATAAGATTAATAATCTTTTCTTTTCTTTTTTCTTTTAATACTTCCCAAATTTTTGTCGGGTACTTTTAGTTTAGTTTTTGTACAGTTCTCCATCCTCAAAGAGATGGTTTCTAAATATCAGACAAAAAGGATACAAGAACAAAAATCTTAAATGTTGTGTTTTAACTATGGAGTTAGTAGTTACCTTTGTATGCTAAGGAAGTTTGTGTTAATTAATTAGCTATGAGCATGAAAATTATATATCTTAATTTCTTCTCGCACATTTTTACTTTGTGAATTTAAGTTTAGGTTTATTTATAAATTAATTGGCTTAGGTTTTGATAATTTTGAGTACTTCTACCCGAATTTAAACTCACAAATTTTCAATTCTGAAGCCTATTTCAATCCTATCATTTGTTCTTGTTAATAACCTATTAATTTTAATTACCTTTAGTTCACATGATAATTTCATCATTGTTAATAAGCTTTTTTTTTTTTTTTTTTTTTTTTTTTTTTTTTTTTTTTTTTTTTTTTTTTTTTTTTTTTTTTTTTTTTTTTTTTTAAATACAATTGTTCCCAAACTTCAATTTATATTGATAGTAACAACTTCGATTTTTTTTTTCTTTTTACATAAAATCATTAGTTTTTTTCCAATTTTTATTGAAAGTTTAATTAATATTTTAATTTATTTGTGACAAAGGAAAAAGTGTAATGATTTACAATTTCTAATTATAGAACTAAATGAATGGCTATAAAATTTTATTTCATGATTATTTTCAACTTAAGAATTCTAATGAAATAACAAAATTGAAGTGATTTTATTGATACAAATTGAAATTTAATTAATAACTTCACCGAAATTCATAATAAAAATAATGATTGTAATTGAAATGAATCCCATTTTAGCTTGCACGATCGAATTTCAAATTGATGTTTTGAAAACATGAGACAAAAAGAGTAGAATGTTGTGTATTAGGGAGTAAGATAAGTTAATCAACATAACCTAAACAAAAAATAATTAATTAATTAAATCAATTATTCTTTTTAAGTTCACTACTTATTCACGTATAGAATAAAGTATGAACATCAAAATTGTGGCTAGCTAGTCTTCCTTTTTATTAGGGCAAGAAAGGGTTACAATGAAATGACTTGAACTCCTGTTTTGGTTGATTTAAATATTAAGAGGTTAAACAAGTTGGATCTTGTAAAGAATTTTATAATCAAGTTTTAGCCCTACCCTCCACCGCCTTGTGAGAGAGAAAACGACACTCGTTTTATATTATAATTAAGCAAGATAAGCACTGCTTGCAATTACTTTGCTTAAAGTAATGAAATTACATTGGTTTTTTTCATTTTTGGACAACTTGACTTTGTTATATTTGTGTGGTCGTACAAAATTAGGCGCGTCCAAATAATTCCAGCGTTCTTAATTTATTAGGAGGCCGAAATTTAAGTCCTCTCATTCTTTATATTATTAAAAAAAATTTATTATATCATATCTTATTGATCGATCGATATTAAATTATTAATTCACTTAAAATACACGGCCCATTTGATTATTTTCATTTGTTTCCAGCTATGAGTATGATGAGACAGACGGACTTAGTGCTTTGTTTCAAACTTTAGGTCGTGGAATTACTTGTCAATTGATATAATATATTTATGTAGTGCATTAGGATTGGAGACCAAATTAAGATTTGGTTGTTGGCCTTTTGATATGCATTTAAGCCCTAGTCCTTGATTAGATATGCTTATCAATTGCAATTATTTCTTTAAAAGGATATTATACAGTTAGATTATTCTCTAAATAGAAAACGTATTAATTAGATGAATTTTACCGGCAAAATCACAGTTTAAAATCTCAAGTTGTCACTGTTAGAAATGTTTTATTTGGATACCGCTCTTACTCGATCGTATGAAGATATGTGTGTGAAGAAAAAATAATTAGTTTTTCATTTTTTAAAGTTGTTGTATTATTTATGTTGTATACTGATTCATTTCCCCACAAAAAATTTAATTAATCAAGAAATTCTTTTGTTGTCATTTTTTAAAAAAAATAATTAGACATGTTTAATAGTTGAGTATATATCTCATAATATAAGAAGGTTAGAAATTTAAATTTTAATGCAATATTTCTATTTTCAAATGCCAAAAAAATGAAAAATAAAATATTATAAATAAGACAAAGCTTCTAATTATTAGGAAGATTACTATTTTTTTACGTTGGTACATAAGTACATTAGACAAACTACAGGAAATATAATTATTTCCTTTTATAAATATACCATTACATTTCATTTAACAGAATATAAAACTGAACCTCTTAATTAATAAAGACTTTAAAATTTTTCTTCAATTATTGGTAGTAATTATTACTTATATCAACCATTTTCTATTTCCTTGAAGATCAATTAGGCCTGAGCAACCAAATCATCCAAGAAAGTTTCTTGCGACATAACTGTGGAGCAATCTGCTTCCTTTTCAGTGAGCAAAGCAGAAACAGAACCCACAAAAGCAGCGTTCATGTAAGTAGTAGGTTCAGCACGTGAGTACTCTGTTCTCAAATCTTTGTACTGGTCATTTGAATCGGGGCCTCCGACGACAGCGCCAATATGCGTGTTTGGATTTGGTCGGTTAGAATTGAAATACATTGAGAAACCATCGTTGCACCCAACCTTATCACTGTGCACTCGAATTGATGGGATTGATGCTCCTCTATGGTGTAATTGGGTTGGGTATTTATTGCCAAACCCCACCATATATGACATCTTCATCGGGTTATTTCCGAGCATATAGTCCACCTAAAAAGCCCACATGCCAATCAGGGATATATTTGTATTTGGCATGAAAGCCACGAGGCATGCAAATTATTGGAATTGACTTGCCCCGAGCTTTATGATAGATCAAATCAATAATTTTTTTTTGTAACGAGCCTAGATTCACCCTTGATGGGTAGAGCTATAAACTGTGTCTAGGCAATTCTAATACTGTAATTATTAGTACTGTTCATAGATTTTTACCTGTGATTTTGCAAAGGATCTGATTTGAGAGGCAGAGAAATGTGCAGAGCCACATTGGATTCCATTGATATTATTTGTAGTTAAGGTTTTGGAGAAGATAAACAGAAGCATGGTAGAGCTGGTTACATACTGCAAATTAGAGCTGTCTCTAATGTATAAAAGACCACCTGCAAATTATTGAAGCAAAGAAATTGGTCAAATATTATTGATCGATGTTTTCATTTAGAAATTTCTATTTAGAAGTCTTAAATAAAAATAAAAATCCTAATTATCTGTACTCAAATACATACCAGGAGTTGTTTTAATCTGCACAGAACTACTTCCAGGCATCAATGCACAAACAAATGACTCTGCATCACCCCGGAACTTATCCAAATCCTTCTTCCCAGAGTAAAATTCCTGAACAAAAACATTAATTAGTTGGCATTTTCCTTTCTGGCAAGCATCAGAAATTGACATCAAGGACACAGTCCATGAATAGTTCTACATAAAAGAAGTTGAAGTTTAACATTTGCTATTTTTTTTCTTAAAAAAAGAATATTATTGAGAAAACCTTTGCTAGTAATGTCTGAGCTCCAGCAAATTTGTTGTCCCAACTGAACTCGTTAACTGGTTGACTCCAGCCGCTATTGCTAGAAACATAGCTCAAGTACTTGTTTTGTCCACTTGCCTTGTATAGCCAACTCGCAGCCCATAACAACTCATCCTTTTTATAACAATGATTCAGGAACTATTAGCTGATATACTAATTCCCAGGAAAAAGAAAATACCCACCATTAAACAATAAAAACTCTTCAGGTATTATAATTACCTGATAACCTGAGAAAGAGCAGTAGAAAGGGCAAGAAGCTTTATAAGTTGCTCTATACTTGTCTGAAAAGTCAAACAACTGCAGAACATTCTCAATTAGTGATTAGTGATTATCATTTAGATTAATGGGATATTAATTGATAATAGTTGATGTTGAGCTTACTGATTGTGAATGCCTTAATAACTTGTTTGAATATTTGGAGTCAACAGACTTAAACACAAGTGAAGCAGCAGCAAGAGCGGCTGCTGCCTCAGCTGCAGCTTCAGTGCCTGGTGAGTTTGGTGTTATCTTGTAGAGTGTTCGAGGAGTGTCCATATCTTCCGGTCTTTCCCAGCATGCATGATCAGCATTTCCATCACCTACCTGTCAACCATATGAAAAATGAAATCTACTTCTTAATTTATAAACTTTCACATAAAAGAAGACTTCTTGTTAATCTTTGAAAGAGATGGTATACCTGGGTATAAAACGTCGTGGATGAAGTATGAGATTTTAAAAGGTAGTTTGTGCCCCAACGGATTGCATTTTGGAGGTAACCAAGCAGGTTGATGGAAGCTATCTCTTTCTGATACTCAAGTGCAGCCCAACTCAACAAAGATAGAGTATATGACATTGGCCATCCAAATTTTACATTATCACCAGCATCATAGTAACCTCCTGTTAAATTGACCTGGCAAATAACAGAAAACCACAACTCAAACAACAATTCTATCAGAACTGACATACTAGATAGAGAAGGTATAATACATATATGGACATACATTATCAGGCTTGCCATCAGAAAGAGCAGAGTCAGCTCTCCAAGAAACTCGCTGGTTGGCAGGCAACTTGCCAGAGCGTTGCCCGTCAAAAAATAAAATAGCTTTGCCAAGTGCATCACCATAGCTAGAAGCTTTGAAGCATAATTCTTGATTTTGAATGGCTAACCCACCTTGACTTATAGCCAATAACAGAACAACAACCCAACTACTGTAACCCATGACTAGTGACTCAACTGAACTGCCTTGCATTCGGAACTCTCAGGACTTTGGTGCTATTTATAGACTCATTTCCAATACTATAAGAAAAATCCCACATGCTTTTTAATCAACAAAGATAAATAAATATGGGGAAGTTATGAAAGACATATAACTGAAGATGACATATCGAGGGATGGAGATAGCGTGAGGAGTTTATATTTTACACAAGTGATTTTCAAAACAATAATTAATTAGTCATATAGAGATTACGGAACTATATAATAATTTTATTTTTATATATATAATGATTAAGTATATATGACATGCATACTAATATGTACTTGTACCCACTCCTCAGCGTCATTAGTTGCTATAGTATCATTTTTCTCTTACGTGTTACCAGTATTTTCCTCAAGTACTCAAGTGAATATATACATAAAATTCTCATAATAAAAGTCATAATAATGATATTATTATCATAAAGTGCAACGTTATCTTTCAAAAATTGAAATGGATGATAATATTTTTTCCCGATATTATGAATTTTATATGCACTCTATTTCTATCTCTTTTTTAATTTTAAGCCCTTGTTATGTAATTTGCTTATTAAAATGATATTTAATTAATCATATTTGCATGAATTGAAAAGTTATTTCTTCTTCAAAGTGATTACCACAGTCTCCTTGACCCGAGTGGCCTAACTAGTTAATTAGTTAGGCATGCTGGAGAGAGAGAAGTCTTGTTTCGCTGAGATACTCACATGCATATCATATATGTTAAAGATTGTCAATTTTGGGTATAAAAGCAAATCAAAGTCCATAACTCCATTATCCTTTTTCCCATTTCTTAGCTTTATTTCTTTTTTCTATTTTTCTATTAACTTTTTCGTGTTCTATTGGGTTTTGTCCTTCATGAGCCACCAAGTCTGAAAGAACTTCAAGTTCATTATGCAACGCACCAATAACCCACAAGCAACCAAAATTTATCAAACGCCTGTTCCTGCTTATGACTTGGGCAAATCAAGCCCGCAAGATCTTTTTCTCTTTCTCTTTTTAAATATAGGATAAGGGATAATACATTTTGTACGTAAAAACAATATATTTTAAGGTCTTTTCCATCGTGTTTGGCCACACAGCATAAAGGATTTTACGCCATCAATAAGTACATTTTGTATTTCTATTTTTGTGGGAAATAAAATCATTACTACTATAACCAACACATTATTAATTACTTAAAGATTACTTCTATCCATATATAAATTGTTTTAGAAGAATTTTTCTATCCAAAAATATAAGCTGTTTTGAAAATATTAAAGAATAATTATTGAACTTTTAAATTTTAATCTTATATATATTAAATACAATAACAATTATACTAAATTAAGAGTAATTTAATCAAATTAATGAAGTTTTTATCATAATTTAGGGGAATAATTTGTTTTCTTAAAACCTTTAACAATCTATATTTATGGATGGGATTAGAAGAGTATTTTCATGTTATATAAAATAGACAATATTCACAAATACATGCCAAAATCATTACAACTATTAAAATTTATTGAAAATATTATATTTTTGGGAACCTCAAGAAAATGAGTGAAATTGATTTTTTAATTTTATGCCTTGTTGGTAATTAAGTTAGATACACATTAATAAAATCAGTGTCCAAAGAGAATGAATGAAATTATTACCTCTGTCCATAAATATAAATTATCGAAAATTGTTGCACGATGATTTAAGAAAGTAACTAATCATCCTAAATTAGGATAAAATATCCATTAATTTAACTAATTACTCTTTAATATAAATAAGGGTAAACTTAAAAAAACATTATTAACTACTTTTTGATAATCTCAAAACTAGTTGTAGTTATGGATAAAAGAACCATCCCAAAAGGCTAAAACGGTTTATATTTATGGCCAAAGGGAGTAGTTCTTAATCCAATTCCAAAGTCCTAAGCTTTGTTCTTAGAAGTGTGTTGTTTTGAGAATAAGAATCATCCAATTTAAGATTTAATGATATTCATCGACAAGTTTCAATTCGAAATAGATTGTTAAATTTTTTAAATAAATACTTCTTTATGTTTATAAAATCTTAACTATACTGACGAATACCTTGGCAAAAAAATATTAATTATACACACAGATATTGGTAACCAACTCTTAACTATCTTTACTATTGTGTTCAAGCTACACAACTACCTTACATGGCTGAGTATCCTCCAAAGAAGCTTGCTCGTTAATTTTCAACTTAAAAATTAAACTGGATATTAAATTTTCATTATGGTATTTACAAACATAAATTTGGTATCTACTAGTACATATATACATGATTATGCCCAAGATTAGGGTTAATCACCTTGGCATTCACAAACACATAGGACTACTATGCCAAAGATAATCCTATAATAATATTTTTATGACTAATGTTAAGATTTAAGAGGGCCAAGACATATAGTTTTTTGGGTACATTTACTTTGCAGCAGGACAGTTGAACTGAATTAGGTGAAGTGTAGTTGGGTTTATTATGGATTCAAGAAATTTGGGTTCTTTCTTGCTATTTTTGCATGAAACTGTTTCAACCAAACCCACAAACATAAATTCCTATACACATGCCAAATTCTCCTATAACCATTTACGTCTCTAATGGATAATGGAGAAACCCCATCAGTATTGCTTCCCGTACATGATGACATTTTTAAACTCAAAGACTTAATTCCTTCAACCTCATTGATCCTTCCAATGGCAACTCACAACCAACTTGGACAGGAAATTGATCAATTTGCTCCTTCTAGTGATATCGATTGGGTTAGCCTTCTTTCTGGTTCTCTTAAGTTTGGCGATCAGAATCATCACCAACCACCAGTGGCCAGAGATAATATTGGTGAAAATGTAAACACAAATAAGATCAAGAAAGGTGGCTGTAAGGCCAAAAGAGTTGTACCACAAAGAATTGCATTTCATACTAGGAGTGCAGATGATATTCTTGACGACGGTTATAGATGGCGAAAATATGGACAGAAAGTTGTCAAAAACAGCATCCACCAAAGGTATATATGTGTGTGTGTGTGGTTATTTGTTTCTTTTATATTGCCAAATTAGCTTCCAAAATTTTGTTTCAGTACATTGAGAATTTTTCAAGAGAATTCGGGCAATAAAGATTTGAATCTGCATTATGAAGCATTACTCAGAGCATTATTAGAACTCGAAACCAATACCTTGAACTTAAAACCAATACCCCGAACTCGAACCCAATACTTCTCGCCCTGTACCCACACAACCTTAAAGAATGTGACGAGAAAATGAATCAGATTACACCTGATTGTTATTCTCTTTTGATATTTGACTTCATTGAACTTGCATATTGTAGTTTTTCTTTCTTTCATTGGAGCAATATGTCCTCACAATAGTGTGATTTTTGCATGTGATGGAGCAGGAGCTACTACCGGTGCACACAACATACCTGCAACGTGAAGAAACAGATCCAACGGCTGTCAAAAGATTCGAGCATTGTAGTGACCACATATGAGGGCATTCATAACCATCCGTGTGAGAAAGTTATGGAGACCTTAAGCCCCCTTCTAAGGGAGCTCCAGTTCCTATCTAGAATTTAGTTTAATTAGCTTTTCCTTTTATTATTTCTTGTACATGGAAAAAAAATTGTGTTGGAGAACAAACTACTAAAGGGTCTGTTTGTCATTAAAATTTACTTTTAGGATGTATATGAATTTAACATGTTTTACTTGTAAAAGAACTCGAAATTAATTAATTGCAGTTTCAAGCATTTTCCTTTTCCTAATTGACAGGTCTCAAGACCAAGTGCATTATTCACAATGGAAAATTATTGGATACATGAATTATGTTATACATATCCTCCATAATTTTTTCATAAATCCTTACATATGTATGTGAGTACATAGTTTTATAATAATAAACAAAAAATCTCTCAGAGCAACTATGAAGGTATATATGACTGCAAAATTCTCCTTTTCCAATCATTTTCAATACCCACCTCTCAAAAACCCAAATAAAGAAATAAGAGTGATAAAGGATACAACACTGCCAAAGTATGTATGATGTATCTCCTATATTAGAGATCGGACTTGAAAGATGAAACTGAAAGTACAAATCATACAATGATGAAAATCTGCCTGCCTAAAAGAAATTCTTTACTGTGATTGCTATATAACCTCTGCTAATTTGAAGGAAAACCTTATACAAGCCATCTGCCTCTCGAGGCTTTGGCAGTTTGCCTCTAAAGTATATGTCCAATAAAGGCTGCTCTTTGCTTCATCTTATAATGGAAAAGTTCCCAACTCCATGCCGTGCCTCGAAAGAAGTACCTTGCGTCCACCAACCCACTCTAGCCGGTAAGAGAGGTCGAGATTTTGAATTAGTATCTTCAAACTGTCTGCATAATTCAAACTTCTAGCATTCTCCTACAAAAGCCAAAATCACAGAGAAAAAGGTGTATGTTAGAAATAGCATTTGCAGTGTGCTTTGTGCAGTCAAAAATAACAGATGGATCCATTTAGAGAGATCTCAAGACTGTGAAGAAATGGTAATATGCTCTCTAATTTATGAACAGATTAAAAACATGACCTCATCATCTAATTTATGAATAGCTTGGCTTATGAGGCTGGGGTGGGAATATATAGTTGAGATCATTCACTCAGAGCCAGTGATCTTTTCCTCTTGTAACTCAGCTTAGAAGGAGAACACAGTCGTAGTTTACAGTTATAATACTTGTAGTAGTAATCAAGTGACCTTTCAGCCTGCGTGAGTGTGGTGTAAAAACCAAAACCCCACAGTTAAATAACAGCATCCTAATCCTAGCGTGTGAAAGAATTTTAAGATTCAATCATAACCGTCCAACAAAACTGAATTGCTATTCAACCGCTAGAACTAGAACAATGCCAAGTGCCGTGTTCCTGGTGAACTGAAGGTTAAGACTATCTTAGTGCTGGTTTTACATATTCATTATATTGCTAGGAAGATTACCTGCAAATTGGTCTGTCTATCATGACCTGATATGCTTGCCATGATGCTAGTCCTAGAGGAATTGGGAGAGAAGCCTTCCCATAGAGGAACAAATATTAGTTTGGTGCATTGGACAGGAACAAGGTTTCTGTTCAATTTTTCCCACCACATGGATCCCAATGACCACCATCTGATCATCAAACCATGCTCAGAAAAAGCAATGAGCCCCTGCAACCAGTACGACAAATTTAGAGTAACGACAAAATGAATTATGGTAATCAACAAAATTGATAGTTCATCCTCTGTCATCTGATGCTACCAATTACCAGAATAACAAAAAAATAGTAAAAGGCATGTTGCAGATACTGCAATTGCACATATACTGTGCATGAGAGAGAGAGAGATAGAGATCAAAACATTATGAGTTGCCCCAGAAAAAGTCAGAGCATGCTTTTTTTAAATGTAAACTAGCATTGGCATGGTCACAGTTCATAAGTAAAACAAAAATAATGTTGATAGTGAAGTTCAAGCCCAAACTTTACAGCTGTTAGAAATTCTGTTTTCTTTGTCAATCACATTAAGTGCAAATCCGCATCCAAACAGCCATAGGAAACAACAGCAGATAATGGAGAAAAATTATGTTGCTTTTTTATGGGATAAGATAGAATACCTCTCCATCAGGGGAAAAACTCAAAGCAGAAATCACTGTGGTAATTGCTGTTTCTGAAGCTCCTGAAAGCAAAGTTGGAAGTCCAGGAGGCCCACTTGCATCCAAAATCTTTACCTTTGTCACACTGTGTTAAAAAAGAAAAAAAAAATTGGAAGAGACTAAGATAGACAAAATTAGAAGGCCAACATCACAAAAAAGGTTATTCAATTCTAAGAGATATTACAAGTAAGAGGACGATAACAAGAAATGTATTCAGATAAGTATGAACCAACGCCATATTCTGTGAGGAACACATAGACCATGGATGATATTACGCCTGCAATTCTCTCCATTAACCTTCTTTGACTCACGATATAATTCATCATTTAAAACTTATTTTTCACTGCACGTGAGCTACATTAGATGAAAAGCAGTTCTATCAAGATTTTTGGTTGGGCTCTGTGAACAAATGTGTATCTCTTCTTGACAACCCCAGATCACCATTTACACTAAATTCAAAGAATGATAAGAACCTGCCCTCTATATTCCACATTTTATGTGGTAAAGGAGCTTGTGGGGTGAGCATAGCTCTTAGTTTATAATCTTATCAATAGAAGAGCAAAGAAAAGAAAAACAGAAAAAAATCTTGTGGTTTACATGCTTATGAAATAAAAATAGGTATCACCAAATTTGAACAAATTGCATTAATAAGCAATGAGTTATATTAAACGTTCATTTGGATGTTCTCAATTGACAATGGCCCTTTACTGATTAAATAAAATAACAATCACTATCTATTGAATAATAGAAACTTAGGGTTGTTCTCCAATAGTTTTCCTGCTAGGAAGGTCTTTTAGTTTAGCAGGGTTTTACAGCCAATGGAAGCTTGGGGGCCAGGATATTCTTGCTCAAGGATAGGCACTATGAATAACGAGTGCATAAAGCTAATGGCAAGTCATCATCTGTCAGCTAGGCTTCTACATATTCTAAATGAATGTAACTATTATTTGAACTATCTAATCGATCTAATAAAATCTAGCAAATATTGAAATTAATAGTTGGATATGAGACTGTTAAACCAAATTAGGACCTTCAATGTTATACGTCCTTCGGGCCACTGTAACAGAGACTTGGCAAAACATAACTCTTATTGTGGACATGTTTGATTGTTAGAAATAAGCAACCCTAATCATTACATGGTATTTTATCAAACCAAACCACAAACTAAAGAAAATTATCCTAAAGGTCTTCCTAGTTAGCTATTTCCCACTTTGTTAACCAGAGGTCTAACTCTTGGGGTCAGACCATAACCAAGGTATTTTTCCTATTTATACATTCCCTAGCCTAGGTATTGATAGTATGCTTTGACCAAACCACGTCGGTGGACTTAAAATGGTGAATGATAGGTACCCATAATGCCACATGAACATAAAAAGAAAATCGATAATGTTTTCGAGTATAAGGAATAAACTAGTATCTTATTTCTGATACCTTTGCATGTCATACACTGAAATGCTAGCATTGTTGACCTCCCCGATTGCATCCCCAACAGCCAGCCTGGTACATGTGCCATTAAAAGCTACCATTGGAAATACACGCACAACTTCCTTTAATGCTGTTATTGAACTCTGAAGGCAAGTTTTGCGCATGACTGAGTTACCAGGGTCCATAGTGTGTAATATGTAGTTAACCACCTGCACATCTGTCCACATGTCATGAGAAATTCATAACAAGATGCCCAAGTTCTGAAATTCTTGACCATCTTGTGCAGTTCTACTAACCTTGTCAAGGTATTGGGCAAAGCATCTTGGAGAACCACGCACAACCCTGATTAGAGTTGTCAGAGAGACCAGATGAACAGGTGAATCAGATGCAGTAGACCAAATTTGGCTTTCTATAACGGTTAAGAACCCGAGAACATCAGTCATTGCCAAACTTGGAAGAAGAATACCAACCAAAGTTTCTCCAATGGAAGATGGTACAGCTGGATGGTGTCCAGCTGAGTTGGCAGATGAGCTGCTCACACACTCTATTTGGAAGAATATATCTGCAATCAGACGAGGTATTTCAGGACCAATACACGCCTTCCATGTGTCCTCCATACCTTCTGCAAGGAGCTCTGCAGCAATAGAACTGTATTTTCCATTCATTGCCATCACCAACTTTATTAATGGATGGGCAATAAGCGTGGCAAGACTTGGTTTCACAAGACTCGGATACCAAATGGCAAATGCTGCTGCAACAATGATATTGGATGTCATTGCATCTTGACTTGTTCCTCCAACACATGAAATCCAGTCTGGTGCTTCAAAAGACTCGAGCCATGCAAGTATTTTAGATTCTTCTGCCTCAGTGGTTCCTCGTATTTCAGTTGACTTGTCAAATGCTTCTTCATCTTGAGAGCTTCCTTGTGATTCAGGTGATATGTCAGAGAAATCATTCCCAGATATCCCTCCTATTTTTGAAGCTTTGCCTTCATTTTTCCCCATTTCATTGAGAGATCTCAAAAGTTTTGCATGATCACGTGCTCTCTGACCACAGAGAGGGAAAGGAATTGCCCGTGAAGCAGCACAGTGAAATAAAGTGCGTGCAGCCATACGCACATGCTCACTTTCATCTTGCCAAAAACTCACCAAAAGCTGTTCAAAAAACAATAAAATCTTTTAAATGAGAAAAAAGAACAAAGATAGATAAGGATCCTTGTCTAATGTGAGACAACTAGTCCATCTTTGAGGATTGAAATAATCTTCAAGATGCTTCCAGAAAACAGCAAAAGATAGCATAAGAGTAATTTTCAGGTTAATGACTCTTTTATTCCATTATTAGGTGTTATTTTTGAGGCCCGCAAAATTTATAAAATAATGCAGTACAAAATCATACTCAAGTTGATACTACGTCGTGTGGTATATTACTTTGGAGATATATCTCATCAGATTTACAAAATTTTTCCATTTTGATTCCTTGATTACCACAAGTAAAAACAAATATATTTGTCATCTGGCAAGAAAGCTCTTGTTAATTCTGAAACTGTCATCTAAATAGACTCACTCACTCATTCCCCTTTGCCACCACAATTTCACAGAGGAAAAGATAATACAAAAATAAAATGGAAGCAATCAATAATTATCTCCTGATGAGTAATATAATCATCCAGTTCAAATGTGAGAGTTAGACGACCAAATCTATAGCATTAAATGTGACCTGGAGTAAAGGTGGTTTAATATCTGGAACTTGTTCTGCAAAATTCCGAGTATAAAATGCTGCTAAAGCCCTGTAAGAGATTAGAACAAATAGTAAATACTGCCAGCAAAAAATACCTTTCTAAAATAAATAAAAACAAAAAAATCTCAGTTTAGGTCAGTTGTGAACAAGGTAGAGTAAATCAAAAAGGACTGTGTGCACACAACTGTGCCATGTCAAAGATGGCCCAACCCATATTAGATTTTTCCTAGAAGATCTAGCCAATAAACAAGCCAATCAGAAATTCCTTGATATTTCATTTTAAAATATTCTTTGCTCGAGGCCAGTACTAATTAACCTAGCTAGTAAATCCACTTAGCATTGCCTAAAGTGACCTGGAACCGGATACTGCTTATACTCAAGATGGTCAGGTACACTTAATCTTGTCTAACTGAGCCTTTTGACAGGAAAAAAAGAAAAGAAAAGGAATTAAAAAAAAGACAAAACAGAAAAAAATTCAATGAAGAAAATGAAACTAGGAGCTCTTATTTTGATGACCATACATGGGCAGTGGTATAATCCAGAACACCAATTTCAACCACAAGTTTGTAACCCTAAATTTCTCAATCACAGGGAAACAATACACTTCTTTCTCCAGTAGTGAAAACTCAACTCCAACACCATTTTCAAGATATTGAATCTTAAAGGCTTTATTAATAGATGCTTGCTTCTGTTCTATAATTCCTTTTCACATGCAGAATGCAGATTATAATTTCAGCTAAACAATGGGAGTTCAAGTTACTATATAGACCTGAAAAACCTCAACCATACAGAAGGCATAGAGAATATTCAATCTGAGAAACAAATAACAGAAATAGTCTAATATCATTTATAACTTTGCTATAGAACCACTGCAGTACCTGCTGGCTGCTGAACTGGATGGAGACAAGCTAATCATGCGTTGGGCAATGGATACCATTGTCAGGGATCTCATAGCACAAAACTCTGATGATGATTTCCATAGCTGAAATGTTGTTTTCAATGTCACAGGGAAAGTTGAAATAAGCCAAACAAGATAATATGTCCCAACATCTAATACAGTTCATGCAAAAGTACCTCAAGGATAGCACTCAAACCAGGAAATGTCAAAGTCAAAGACCCTTTGTCCCCTTGCAAACCAGAAGCTAAAATAAAATTATCTGGTATCTTTATCTTCATGTCCAGCATTAGCAGTTTATCAAGCTCACTATCTACATGCCACAAATGTAAAATGGACAAACTAAACCTAAGTAATTGTTCTTCTAGTGACCTAATCCACTCATGCTCCTCTGTAGTATCAACAGAGGTCCCATTCTTATCAGAACTATCACCAAAGGAGATATGGCGGGGACTTGGTGTGCTGGTTCCTAGGTCCTTCACACTGTTATTCTCCTGCTTATAACTGTCATTGACAATGGAATCTTGTTTCTGATAAGGAGACATCAACGATGCAAGATCAAAAGTGAAAGTAGCAATCCCAGGGAACGGACAAGTGCATCTGATGGGATACTTGTTGTTTTGTAGGAAAGAAGAGGTAGTTGGAGCAGAAATTCCCCTCTTAACCTGTGCTTGTGAAGCAGTGGATTCTAATATATTTGCTACACTTGACAATGTATTCAATGAGGCGACTCTCTTCGTCAGATAATTTATGTGAGATTGAGAAGAGTTCCCATCTTCAATTACTGGAAGATGTAACAAGGAAACTGAAGTATTTCTGTTCAATATAGAGCCAGATATGGAATTAGCACTGACGCCTTTACAAAAATGGTCCAACATTGAATGAGAAGCAGTCCCATGGAGGACCCGCTCTCGTGCTCCTGTTTTTACATCCCAAATGTACAAAACATCAACTGCATCAGATTTCCCTGAATGGCTCTTGCAAAGACATGCAATGTATCCTCTAGCACCATCCCACACAACTTTTTCAGGATAGCTAGGGTGTCCAGGAAACATTCTCTCTACCCTCAAAGTTTCAAGGGAAGCAAGGGAAACACAAGAGTCCTCCCCAACAGAGAGAAAGCAATCACTCCACGGATGTTCAGTCTGTGCGGGGGAGAAGATAAGTTGGCGCACTGGAGCCACATGTTGGTGCATCACCGTTATGAGATTCCCAGTGTCAAGATCCCATATGCGAATCGTGCAGTCCATACTTCCAGAAACTAAAACATGACTGAAGCTCCATCCTTTGGCAGTTCCCAACATCTGGTGTGCTGCCAAACAAAGTACAGCACCAGTGTGACCCGTTAAATATTTTCTGGATACATCTGGATCTACATCAGGACACAGACTTCTGCCATGAGAATCTGTTCCCAAAATCATATCGAAGTGTACAACCTCAATTTCACCATTAAAGAAGCCATATACAATAGCATAAGGAACAAAAAGATCTTCAGAAATAACCATGGAAGAAGTTACTGTCTGTCCCTTGTACGCAAAACTACAACTTCCATCATCTGCATGTTTATTATTTCCATTTGCCAAACATGAAAGAGAACTTTGAGAAGAAGATATTTTCATCTTCCTGTCACTGTGGCCATTGATTTCATTAAGAAATCTGGAGCTTGAGATCCACTCAGCGGATAAATCACTTTCTCCTATAATCTTGCAATGAGACAGCTTCCCTGAGTTATCATGTTTTTGATGTAAAGACCAGATTGTCACATGTGGTGTCCATTGTAAAGGATCTTTAAGGTCAAAGCAAACTGATTCAATTCGGAGAAGATAGTTGTTAGACTGGATGAAAGAAATGGAAAGTCCAATATCATTAGGATGAGAAGCAGGAGGAATCTCAAAAAGAAGCTCACAATTAAACACATCATTCAAATATGACACTGTATACACAATTGCTGAACCTGTATTGTTCCACACAACAAAGTTTTCACAAAAATTTTCATGGGCTTCCTGGGATTTCTGCAATTTAACGGCATCAACATTTTCAAGAAACATCCCCCCAAGTACACCTGATTCAGTAGAATTGCCTTCGACTGAGAGGACATTGTCCAGACAAGAAATCTCTCCAATTGTAGTGTCACTGTTCAATAGCCTAAATATGCAGCAATTTTTCAAAACAAAAGCAAAAAGGTTCCCACGGCTTGCAATTGAAACAACCTGTCCTCCATCATTCACCCCATCTCCCCAAGCTTCCAACCGACAATTTTTTTGTATGTCACTCCCACCCTCACCATCTAGATTGGAATCCTTCAGTATTGAAGCTAACTGTACCCTTCCATATGAATCAGCCATAAGAACAGAATGTTTTTCCCCTTCCTCACCCGACAAAACCACATCCATAAATCTCAATGGCCCAATTGATAAATTCCCATGAAAAATGGTTTGCACAATAGCAAGACTGTAAGTATCAACAATTACTACAGTGCATTTTGGTGATTTTCTATGCTGGGGCCATTTATCTGCAGAAACCTCACTCCCTTCAAGAGAATCAATAGAATGATGATCAGAAAAATGGATATTGTCACTGAAACAACAGCCTATACATACATATCGAGAGCCTGTGGGTAATGCACGAATGATGGATGGACTACCAACCCAAGGGGGCAATTTTCTTCTATGTCTGCAATGTCCACTGCCTCTACTCCAAACACATAATACACCATCTGTGCATGCGCTTATCAAGGCACCACGAGTATCAGGAATTGAGCTTGCACCAGCATTACTTGAATGATCTATTTCTCTATCATCTTCTGAAACAACCACTGGATAACAGATGCTGAGATCAGCTATTGGTGCAGCATGACCACACAGCATAGCAACTGGTTTAATCTCCTGTCACATAAAGAACCTTGATAAACTGGCATGTTGATTAAAATTCAAATATCTGGCTATTCAACTTCATTTTGAAACAAACTAACAATATAAATGTACATGGAACAACAGCAAACACATCACACGTGCAGAGAAACAAAAATTAAGACAAACTAGATTTCCAAGGAATGCACCTGTAATGTTGCCAATGAATAAATTAACACATTATCCACAATCAACATGAGAAGGAAAATAAAACTTCAATTAGTAGTACTACTGATACATTTATTTTCACTTATTTAATCATTATATGCATAAAACGAATCAAAAAGACTGATTATTGCGATGAAACTGTAGCTTAAAGAGATGATTACTAACATTTTATCACACTAAACATAAAAACAATCAAAAAAGAAAAATAGCTTTTTTAAATTAGCAAAATGAACCTGATTACTTTTTTCATTTTTAAGGCAAAAAAGGTCAATACTCGGCAGCAACTAGTTAACATTCAACTAAATTTCTATTTCTGCTTGAACAAACAGAGAAATACTCTTTATATTACAATAAAACCAAAACGGAAAGACTGACTAATGAACAGATAGAGAGTTTGTGCTGAAACTACTAAACAAGCTGAGCTGAGTTAGTTACCGAATTAGAGATATTCCACCAGAGAATGGAGCCATCTGATCCACCGGTGTACAAAGTCGGGGGCCGGTTTAGTGCGGTGGTGGCGGTGACTCTGTGAACCGGTGGAGTAGCCGACCAAATGCACGCCACCGATCGGCACTTCATGGTTCAGTTAGCCGAGTTGCGTTAGCGAGTCAGTGCTCGAGTTTCGCCATGCGAGAGGGAAATTATCAGATGTGGCGGTTTATACTAACTCACTGTTTAGCCAAATTAATTAATACTCCAAATCATCGGAATCAATTAAAATCATGGTTTTAAAAAGTAGTTTGATGTAATTTGAAAAATGTAAAAAATTAACAAGGTTTATAGTTTCAAAGTCAGAGCCTATTAAATGAAACCAAATTTCCCCACCTTCTTTATACTCGTTCCAAGCAAATATATTTAATTTACATAGATTAATACTTTATTATTTTTATTATAAATTATAATATTATGAACCATTTATATTATTAAAATTTAAAGACATTTATAAAATAGAAAAACCATTTTAAAAAATAATAAAATAAAAAATTTTATAACTAAATAATTTTTTAAGGAAATAACATATATATAATAAAAAAATCAATAACTAAATAACCTATTAAAGAATTAACATATCTATAATAATAAATATTATATTTGATAGCCATATTTTTTCATGAAAATAAAATTAAATATCACTCGAATTAAATTTTTTTATAATTAACCTATTTAAAGAATTAAACATACTATCTATAATAATAAATCATTATATTTGATAGCCATATTTTTCATGAAAAAAAATTAAATATTACACTCGAATTTAAATTTTTTTTATAATAATCTTAAATATAATTATTAATTTTTTTTTTGGTTTATAATATAAATATATTAAACTATCTATATTAATAAAATATAAATTTAATTTTAACTATTTATAATAATTAAATAAATTATACAATTCCTTGTGTTAATATTTGGTTTATTAATGAAAATGTGTATTATTATAATATTAATAAAATATAAAATTTAATTTTAACTATTATAATAATTAATAAATTACATTCCTTGTGTAATATGGTTTATTAATAAAATGTGTTATATTATAATTTTATATTATATATATTTCTAGTGAGTTTTATTTCTTATTTTATATCAAATAATAATTTTTATAATATATTTTTAATAAATTAAAATACACTACATTTATTCTTGTAAACTAATTTTTTTTAGAAAATAGTTACAATTGATAAAATAAAAAATTTATTAAAAGTAATAACTAAACATATTATTCTTTTCATATTTACTTATACTTTGTACTCTGTCGTCTGTCGTTTATCTTATAAATTATAGAGAGCATTACTGTTGGGCCGAGGAAAATGTAATACGGGCCCATTATTACTCCTATACTGGACAGGATAGACTTCTAATTTCAACTCCTCTCTTTCACTGAAGTTTCCAGAAGTCCTGTGTTAAATCCTTTGTCTAATTATTTTTCCTCCAATCTCTGTATTTCACTATAGATAGACTCAAATCACGTTCGATTCTCTCGATTTTCTCTAACAATGGCGACTGAGTTGGCCGAGAAGGCTAAAGAAGCAATAATAGACGATGATTTCAAACTAGCCCTTGATTTATACTCTAAAGCCATCGACTTGGACCCAACCAACCCCGATTATTTTGCCGACCGAGCACAAGTCAACATTAAACTCGACAGCTTCACTGGTATTTTGTCAATTTTGAGTTTTTATTTGTTTTGAGGTTTAACAATGATGGTTTGTTGGGAGTGTTCGTATTCATTTGTGAGTTTCACTTATTGCATAATTTGGTTAAAGTTTTAGCGAAAGTAATGGTCTTTTTGTGTATGATTTGAGCAGAGGCGGTTGCTGATGCAAACAAGGCAATAGAGCTCAATCCTAAGATTGCCAAGGCATATTTGCGTAAAGGGTATGTAATTACTAATTCTATACGACAGTGTATGTTCTGATTAATACATTTCTTTCTAGCTAGGTCTTAATTAATTATTTATTTATTCATACATAATCCTTTTTGTTCATGTGCTACCCTTTTTCCTTAGCTTCAACACGTGTGGTCATGTGAAATAAATTGTTGTTTGTTTTGTCACGATAATGCTCAAGTCATGAGAATGACTTCAATGATTGATTCATAGAGTTTAATGTCTTGCAGTGCTGCCTGTATTAAGCTTGAAGAATATCATACAGCCAAGACAGCCCTTGAAATAGGTGCATCTTTAGCTCAAGTTGATTCTAGATTTACCAAGTTGATCAAAGAATGTGAAGAGCGCATTGCAGGTATTTACATGAGCTTCTATTGAAAAAGAAAAGTGACTTTCGATGGGTATATAGAAACCCGATTTTGAGGATAACGTAAATTGTCTTATTCATATTGGTTATTACAGAGTAAGCAAAGAAGAATCTTTACTAATTTCGTTTGCGGTTGTTCTGTGCTCTAACTTCTTTTTCTAATTCAGTTATCACAGTACTTTGATGGGTGCTAATTTCTTTTCAGAGGAGGCTGATGATCTAAGTAAGTCAATTAAGTCCTTGACGCCAAATGTTACACCAAGTGCTGCACCTCTATCCATTGGTTCCCATCACAAAGATGCAATCTCTTCAGCAAAGCCAAAATACAGGTCTTATGGGTTATTTGTTTTTCCTTTTACTTGCTTCATTCTTTTCTTTGTAAAGTTTTCTTTGATTTTGTTGGTGTCAATAATAAACTATATTGCCTTTTTCGTTCATCAGTTCTATCTGTATATGTATATTAATAAGCTGCATCTATTTATAAAGTGTAAGGAGGATGGAACCTAAGTAGGATATTTTGAAAACTGCAGATTATCTTTTCTTCCTTACTGTTACTTCGAAACCTAAGTTGAAAATAGACAAAAACAAAAATAGAAGGCAATTGAACTTTGGCAGGTATTACTTTTTATCAACCGAAATAAAAAAAAATGCTCATAGGTGGATACCATAGCGCCCTCTTGGGTGTATGGTTTGACCTGAAAAAGTTGTCTCCCTACTTTGAATGCTATCAATTGTATTACCTTATTTTCTCTGAGTTAGTTGATATTTTTGTTACCAGCACGCTAGACATAAACTTTAGACTGCCAGGTGATCTTTCCATTTATTCACTGTTCTTTCTTTCTTGTGCGCTGCCCCCCCCCCACAAAAAAAAAAAAAAAATTTCTTGTGGCGCTGCCCCCCCACAAAAAAAAAAGAAAAAATCTCTCTTCATCTCTACTCTTTCCCCTTCTACTCTTCTCTTCTCTGTAGCATATACTTTCCACATGTTTATGATTTGACAGTGCCAAATGTTGAACAGACCGAATACTACCAGAAGCCAGATTGAAGTGGTAACTAAACAATCTTTGCAAAAGGGCATACCAGCGTTAAAGAATGTCCACTGTATGATTCGTGTGAAACAAATGTGCAGTATATTAAAAAAAAAAAAAAAAACTCTCTCTCTCTCTCTTTCCCCTTCTATCTTCTCTCTTCTCTGTTACATATACTTTTTCAGTTGTATGATTTTGACATTTGGCAATTGAACAGACACGAATACTACCAGAAGCCAGATGAAGTGGTACTAACAATCTTTGCAAAGGGCATACCAGCAAAGAATGTCACTGTTGATTTCGGTGAACAAATTGTGCGTATATTCATCTGGGAGGGCAATTTTTTATCAAACACGTTTGATGCTGCTGCTTTTATTATCCATCTAGAAATTCTGACCTGTATTCACCAAAGTTGCTGATAAGTTGTGTATAATTTCACTTTGCAGCTTAGTGTTACCATTGATGTTCCTGGCGAAGGTGCCTATCATTTTCAACCTCGATTGTTTGCAAAAGTATGTTCGTAACTTCTTTTGTGTGTGTGTGAGAGTGTGTATATTCTTTCGGTTCTTTTTTTTTTGGTGGGGGGGAGGTGTTGGACCCCACATATGTGTAGTTCTTTTTCTGTGGACTTCACTTAAATTTAAATGTCATTATCTGTTTAACTTGAATATTACATGGTTTCTTCACTCAATTATCTGTAATGGTCTCCTCATAAGCAACTATCCTTTTCCTTTTATCTTATTAATCTTGGACAGGATGACTTCATATTTTTCTTTTACTAAATTTTTTTCATTTTTTGACATTAACATATTTGATTTTACTGTTGTATCTTGCCTCGGCTTTTGTGAAACAGATAGTACCTGATAAGAGCAGATATCAAGTGTTGTCAACCAAGATTGAAATCTGTCTTGCAAAAGAAGAAGTTATTAACTGGACATCTCTTGAATATAGCAAGGACATCTCAGTTCCTCAAAAAATAATTGTGCCATCAGGTAGGTCAAAAACTGACATTGGCTGGTCTTCTTGGATTCATATATTAGTGTATGGTTTGTCAATTTAGCTGCAGTGATTGGGAGTAGTTTCCAGCAAAGACAAGCTAGGTTTAACTTCATAGTTGGATGGAAACTCAATCTAAATTTGAATCTAATTGAAATTGACTACATGAATCCTTCTTTTATATGGTGACATAGCAGCTCACCAATTTAAAATTTATCTTGTGTTTGCAGCAGAATATAAAGGGATGCTTGATACTTACACTTTAAATCATTTTGCTTTTCATTGATGAACTTACAGTTGGATCTCAGAGGCCTTCTTACCCATCTTCAAAAACTAGAGCAAAAGACTGGGATAAGTTGGAAGCCCAAGTAAAGAAGGAGGTATGTCAAATAATAGTGCTCTTGAATTGGTATTTCTACTTGATGAGAACTCAAATTTAACAATATAATGATCTGGATTTCAGGAAAAAGATGAGAAGCTAGATGGCGATGCTGCTTTGAACAAGCTATTTAGGGACATTTACCAAAATGCAGATGAAGATATGAGGAGGGCTATGACCAAGTCTTTTGTAAGATGCCAAACATATAATTTTTTTTTTCTTTAATCAAAGGATTTTTTCTTTTTTGTTTTCTCTCAAAGGGGTTTCTGTATGTGGAGATTAACAGAAACTTAAAAATACCAATTTCCTTAGCAATGGGAGAAATTTTGAGTCTGTCATTTGGAACCTTTATGTGCCATTGTATAATTGACATATTAACTAAATTGGTGCAATTGTACAGGTCGAATCAAATGGGACAGTGCTATCAACTGACTGGAAAGACGTGGGTTCAAAGAAGATAGAAGGCAGCCCTCCAGAGGGTATGGAGGTGAAGAAGTGGGAGTATTAAATTGATGCTGGACTGCACCAACGGATTATACCAAGACAGCAATGTCTGAATATTTTGTTCTTTTATCTTTTGTTTTCTTTTTCTCCGACAGGGTCTAGGTTTATTTTCTATGCTGCTGTAAATCAAACGAAGTTAATTAACAATGTAATTGAGATTATTTATTTTTTGCTGTGGGACAAGTGCGTTGCATTTACGGTTGCTATATCTTTTTACATTTAAGTCATTAACGAAAGAAAAATGTTTATGGACAATCGAGAACAGGTACTAGTTCATCTTACAAGAAAACTTAACAGTAAACAGAGAATTATAAAGCGCATTGCTTACCCATTGGACGTGAAGACAGAAATTAATAACTGAAAGTGCAACAATTTGATTGTAGAAACGCTTGGCCCACCCCGGAAGCAAAACCTAGGAGGAGGGTTCGATCTTATCGTATTTAATGGAATTGGGCAAAGGTTAAACAGTCTAAGGTTGAGTGCATATGAGCAAATATCAAAATCTTTATGATTTCTATAAATAAACTAAATGCATTTGTCTGCCCCACTGACCAACAAAACGTCACTTGGGAAGAGAGAGCATTAAACTAAGAACCCGACCTGATCCTACAAGTCAATAACTCCCACAGGAAACTGCCTATTTACAAAGTGACCTCAGATCTCTACACAAAACTTGCAAGTGACCAAGTGATCCAAAACTGGCTATTCTTCTTGCTTACATAAATATATACAGCCGTCTAGCAGCCTCCATCTGCCTGGATAGTAATCTCAGTATAATATTATACCTATCACAACTCACGGCAGAGAACCAGAACTTCCATTCATACTTGCAGGTTGAGTTGCTGGATTATTTTGAGGAACGTAGAAATTTCTGCCATTAGCTAGAAATGCCTGCAGCTGGGGTGAAAGGTTATGCTGCAGCTGGGATGAAATGCTAGGAGGGGTTGAAATCACTGGTGGTTGTGGAGCTTGAGTTCTTTGGGTAGAGGTCACTGGTGGTTGTGGAGCTTGAGTTGTTTGGGTAGGTTGAATTATCAAGTCTCTATAAGCTGCAGCAGCCTGACCAGATAGGCGTCCACGCATTCGTCCTGTTGGTTGCCAATTCTGCTCAACACCATCAGCACCAGTATTCACTTGTCCTGCTGCACCAACATTTCCCCTCTGCACTGCTGGTGGTGCCCAAGTCCTGTCAGTATTTGAGTTCAAGTTCACCCTGGATGTTTGCATTAGAACTGGCACGGATGGTGGCTGTCTAGGCATCTGGACTGGTCGTGGAGCAACACCTCCAAACCTAGTTTGTTGGATGCCAGCCCCAACTTGTGCAGCCCCTTGCGGGGTTTGAACCCGTGGGAGAGGGGAAGATAATCGAACTACAGTTGGAGATTGACTCCTGGATTGTGGCATCTGAAGAGCTTGCAGCTGATGTAAATTCTGAGATTCATTCCTAAACCTAGGCGCTCTGAGGAGTTGAAGTGGATTAACTTGTTGGAATGATTGTCCCGAAACATATGGTCGATCTTGACGATTCTGAGAGAAAAAAAAGAAAATGAAGATACTAAAATATACAAGGGTGAAAACAGTATGGCTCAACAAGCAGACGAGAGGAAAGCATATAGGTGAACAAGACGAAATCAAGTAGATAATCTAAAGACCAAATTCCAATTGTCAACTGAATTTAGGCCATGGGAAATCTAATCAAGTTGAATCATGCTCCTGAAGTCCCAGAAAATGGCAACAGCAAGCATAAATGATATACGACAAAATAGAGGAGGAAAGGAAATAAACCTGTCCTGTTGGGTAATGCGGAATTGGGGATGCAACCCTGTTCAAACCTTGATGAGCATTTGTATGGGATATGGAAGCAGTATTAAAACCATTTGCCGCTGGCAGGGTAGGCTGAGAAGTCTGGGGGGCACCATTGGGATTTTCACCATTCAAATTGGTTCTTGATCTTTGTTGTTGAGCTGATATTTGAGATGCAACTGCGAGGGCCTGAACTGCTATAGAAGTTCTGTTTACATGTCTGGGTATATTTGTGAATCTCCCATACTCATTGTTTACAGCTGCGTTGACAAGTTGGTGTAAATCACCAGAAGCAGAAAATTGAGTCTGTGTTAAAGAAGTAAGACTATTATTTCCATGACCCCCAAAATTACAGTTAAGAACAGGAGAAATGGCATCACTTGACACAGAGGAAGTCATAGCATTTCCAGGAGATGACTCAGGGATGCCATTAACTGTTTGCGTACACAATCCAGCAATGGAGGCCCCAGACCCATCATTTAAGTAACCAGACAATAACTCATCCATCAGTTGATCAGAAGCATTCTGGTCAAACACATTTGTATCATGTGATGGCATGGTTAAATTAGTGGCAACACTTTGAGATTGAAAACTAGACTGAAAAGGCTTCCTGTCTTCAACATCACTTGTGCTCATAGCATCCATCCTATCATCATCCTCTGTGAGGTCCAAAACAGAGGGAATTAAGGAAGTAGCAGGTTCTTGCTGTTCAGGTGTTTCTTTCTGGCAATTAACAGGCTCTTTGCATGAATGATCCATATTTTCATCACTTTCCATGACAGCCTTCCATGATCCATCAACAGAGATGATCACATTAACAACATTCTCTCCCACTTCTTTCAGAACCTAGCAACAAACACAAGTATAAGAAGAAAGAAGTCCCAACAAAATAGAGTACAACAACACAGCAAATCCAACTCAGCAACTGCTTGCCTTAACCATGTTCTGATCGACACGAATATCACTGTAGCATACATGCTGATTACAATGTGGGCAGCGCCAAGAGGGCCTTCTTGAATTTATCTCAATGAAGTTACTAAAATCAAAACACTAAAGGAAACAGGAATCAGAGAGATGAGCTTATACATCGACGAAAGAGGATGATAGGGTCAGAAAACAAAAGATTAAACCCCAATTCAGTTTAGTTTTTTTTACTGAACCAACTAATGCCCACCCCTAATATCATTCACAACATTATAGTTATAAATATTGTATACTTCATTATGTAACAACACCTCCTATAATTCAAAGATGTGCAATAGCACGTGATTGCAAACTATCTTCGGTGTTTAGGCAGTCAACTGTACCCAAAAAAGGCATTCAAAATCTCAAAAAATTTAGGCACTAAAAATTTATTATCTCTTTATACTGCACAAGTAATACAACAGAAATGAATAAATATGACTATGATCCCAAAAAATTTCTTAACATCATCCAGTTGTTGATATCACAAGCAGCACTAACCTGAAGATGCTTGCATGAATGTCCTTTTATAGGTGTTCTGATACGTGAATAACTGTTCGAGATGGATAGCCAGTTAATCAACGGGAAATGCATTGGTTCAGAAAAGAACAAATAGAAGCATTACAAATAGATTACATCAAGAATATTCTTTTGTATTCTATATATTTAAAAAGAAAATGCAAGCCTGTATTTTAGTCCCTCCATCCCAAAATTGCAGTCCCACTTTCCTTTTTGGGCATCCCAAAATAGTAGTCCACTTTGTTATTTTGGGTTTTAGACATTACATGTATTTCCAAGTGTGCACCTCAATTAATTACTCTATACTTTTACTAATAAGAAGCATTTTTTATAAAATTGTTAATTCAATTTTATCATAACTAATTAAGGAAGATTAATGAAATAAATAAAGTTTAAATATTGAATATATCAAAAAAAAAAAAATTGATTCCCTCATTCACGGTAAATGTATTTCTATTAAATTAGATGTTTTTTCTATATGATAATATTTCTACCATATTTCATTTGGTTGAATCAAGTTTGTGAATTAATTAGGGTATATATGGAAGGATATGAAAGAAATTATAGTAAAACTAACTTAACTACTTTTTTTCTTAAACAGCTGTGTGAAATAGAAATGAGACTACAATTTTGGGACGGGCGAAGCATTAATTTAGAAAGCAGAATCACATGCTACACCTTTCCCTTAAAAGTTGATTAGCAGCAAGAAAGATCCTACAACTGAAAGTATCATGTTCCTCAATCCTTTGCATAATATCAAAAACTTCTATGCTGCTTTTCCTTTTTTTTACCTTTTATTCCCTTCTCCCACCAAAGAGAAGAAGCAAATTGAACATGCATCTTTCATTCATAAAAGACAAAAGATTAAAAGGCAAAAAGCCAGAGAGTGATCATAATAATATAATTTTAGTATACTAGTGCCATGCAATACCTTATGGGACAATTAAGTGATACACGTGATGGCCCCTCGATTATATCAGAATCTAAAAACAGAGAGAAGAAGAATTGCAGAAGGAGCTTATAAGCAGCATAAACTGTGAAATAATAAAAACAAGGGACAGAGCTAACATCAAACATTTATTATTTTCCCTATATGCATACCTGGATCTGCTACTGCAGCATCAGACTGAACATAATCCGGTAACACAGAAGTCCCAGGTAATGGTACCTCGCTCATAAAACCAACGGCTATGATATAATTACCTTGAAAATAATAATAAGAAAGTTTCAGCCAAGGATCAAAATAAATCCTTGCAAAGAGGAAAGAGGACTTGAATTCAAACATACCATTAAACTGACCAACAGCTTGAAGAAGATTTGTTCCATATTTAAGCATTGCAGTCACATTAGTCGGCATCTGTGGTCCTGGGTCCTAACAAAAATATAAATTGTTAAATCAGGCTTTGCATTAACTAGTTCAAAGAGGAAAGCGTGATTATACTAACCAGTGAAACATTATTTCTTTTCTCTACTCCCTTTCCATTTAACAGAAAGCTATAAAGGAAAATAGAAAAAGGTTATCAAAATGTATTATAATAACAAAACTACCAAAGAAGAAAGTGGAGGAGAGAGAAGGTTCATACTTCACTTGTTGTGGACTTATAATACATGCTGATGTCTCAACATTATCTCTCTGTGCCACAAATAACCTCTGTAGGCCACAAAGAGAAGGCAAAGCAAAAGGAAGAGTGAAATATAGATCAAGTACCAATAGTCTATCATCCGATGTACCCGAGCCAAAAAAAAAAAAAAATGTACGCAAACTTAAAACCAAGGACTAAAAATTCTATTACTTTGCTTAATTATAAAATGTACATTACTTTAGGATTTTCTATAATATGGCAATGCTTTTGATACTCCAATATTTACTATAATTTGCATGGTGGCTATAATACAAAATCAAATGGTCCACGCTACTTGAATTAACTAATTCATCTCAGTTAATAAAATGAGGCCAGCAGAAAACAGACCATATATTGTTATGAACAAGAAAATTACACGCCGTTATAGCAACCAAGAAAGAATTAGCTAAAACTTGTTAAACAGAACCTATGGACAACCACATCGAAATAAAAAAGAATTCATCTGGTGCCACAATCATAGATGTAAAAGATCATAATAATGCACATATAGAGCACCATACAGTTGATCAGACTAAAAGATAGAGATGAAGAGGTTTTACATGAAACATTGCCTCCCAAACTATCCTTGAATTAAAAATTGAAATGAAGCTACTGCTTACTATTTTTTCGTCTGGAGAGTGTGATGTATTCTTTGAAATGTGAAAGTCAATCATGTATGCTCCATAACCAGACTACAAGAGGACAAAGATAGATCAGTACATTTCCCTTAATAGGCAGAAAATGTTTAAAGCTAAAGAAGAAACTACCTTAACTTCAAGAGATGCGAGTATCTGCCCCATTTTCATCCGGGGATAGAATCTGTAGAAAGATAAAGGCAAGGAGAGATTTACAGCATCTCAAGTCAAAACCTTGGTACCTAAAGTAGATTTTGAAGGAGATTAAAAAATTGAAAGTTTTCTTGAAGGAGATTGAGGGGATCATAACTCAAGCTAGAAGATATCTGAAAGACTTGGAAGAGAAATCTCTCAGTTTCTTCTCCTTTAACTATTGAATATTATCCTCTTCAATTGAATTCATGATTTGATTCGTTTCTTTAAACTCTTATGCTTTACTTGGAAAACATGATTGAGTAGTTTTCTCTTTTCTATGTTAGGTTGTAACTCGTTGATATTACTATGATTATTATTTGATCTTTATCTTGATTAATGATAGTGCATGTGTTTTGATTCAATTGTTATTAAATTTCATGCTTGCATTATGTTGGACTCCTTTGGTTTAAAGATTTCAAGCGAAGGACTGAAAGGTGCAATTCATAATTGGAAAAGATAAGTAATTGAACTAGGAAACTTTTGCTTATATATAAGCAAAATTAGTTTGAGAATTTTATTGAGATTTCAAGAAACTTAATAAGTTCTAATTAACTTAAATACCGCAAAAGTAAATGTAAACTTTAACTAGAATATGCTTTTGTATCTTGACAGAGAGCATTAGCTACCTTAAATATCTTACTTTCAAAACCATAATCATCTTCGTTAACATAGATTTTATTGATAATCATAGTAAGTTGACGTAGTGAAAACCTACCTATAGCTTAATATCCACTGATACTAGTTTTTGATTATTTTTAATTTAATTTAGCAATTAGATTTTATCAAGTTTACAATCATTAATCATCATCTGAATAATTAAAATCACAATAATTCAATTTCAAAACTAAACTCACGGGAACGATACTCTATTTACTCTTTATTACTCACTAATGATCTGAGCTCTTGCAGGTTTTCACACCACAAAAACAAAATGGGAACAGCATAGCATATAATTAGCATAGAGCATAAAATATAAGTGCCAATAAAGCTCTTACCTGGACATAATTTTTGTGATAATGAAATGAGAATCGCTTGGTACAGTACTAATGTCTCCGGGATTGCAAAAGCTGTTTCCAATCTATGAAAAAAACAAAGGAATAATCTAACATCTACTATCCATATGATCAAAATCTATGAAGTACACACACTCAAGGAAAGGATGAAAATCCATAGCAAACCTCATTAGCAAGAGTATAAAGTTCTCGAGATTCGTTATCTGAAAACCATCCATTGTGACAAGCACTCTATCATGAAAAACAAAGGTAACAATAAAGTTTAACATGAAAGAAATTAAAATGAACTATAGTGTATTAATAATGTATGGCTACAAGATGTCAAAAAAAAAAAAAAAAAAAAACCCAAAGTTTAACATGAAAGCAAATTAAAAATCGAACTATAGTGTATTAATAATGTATGGCTAACAAGATGTCAAAAAAAAAAAAAAAAAAAAACCTCAAAACGGTCAAAACATCAAAATATAAAGAATTATTTGTGTTCAAATGAATTTGTCTAAAGAATAGAGCATTTCAATCCCCAAAAGAACGAAAGGAAACGACATGGAAAAAAAAAAAAAAAAAAAAAAACCTCAAAACGGTCAAACATCAAATATAAGAATTATTTGTTCAAATGAATTTGTCTAAAGAATAGACATTTCAATCCCCAAAAAGAAAAAGGAAAGACATGGGAAGTTAGAAAATAGATAAATAAAATATAAAGATCTAAGGAAATGAATCGTGTCAAAAGGGAATTTATTAAGATTAACCAAAAAGAATAAAATAAAAAATAAAAAAAAAAGAGCATACAACTTTTAAAATTTTCAGATAAATGATTCTCATAGCATATTGTACTATCAGGCTGGACACCCAACATAAAGAATACAAGCTATTGATTGTATATGACCCAAGTTAGTTGGGCACTTAGAAGGGAAATTTAAAAAGCTATTGATTGTATATGACCCAAGTTAATAGGGCACTTAGAAGGGAAATTTAAAGAAACATGAAGAATTCCGATAACTCAAACTTCATTGTGATGGCAAGCTCCAGCATATTGCAAGCAACAGAAGTTTGCACCCTGTAACCCAATACTACTCAAGTACTAAGCACTAATACTTATGCAATGCAAAATTCTTAACAAAGAAAATGGCACAAAATAGAAGTTCATCTCTAGGCCCTAAACCAAGAGGCATGCAAATTGAAACGTGAACTGAGAATTTAGGAGACCATAACCAACACAACTAATACCATTGCTTTTACCTTGACAGAAATCATAAGAACCATGATAGCCGCTTGTAAGAAAAGATCATTTTTCCGATGGCAGATCTATACAAGAGAGAAAATATTAAAAATAAGCATGACAACTTGTTCTAGAACATAAATTTCCAAATGGATAAAAATAAGAAACAATTGGTTTACTTCTAACTTCTAAGTAAAACTAAACACCTAACCACCTTGCTAATGCCAAATGCCAATCCTGCAGAAGTGTTGGATAAAGCTAGTATGCAACCACAAGAGGCATCAAAATTGCTAAAAATGAAAATAAACATACTATCGCACAAGTCACCTGTTTCAATAATGAAGGTAAATCTTTAGCTTTGGCTGGAACCTCGTTGTTTGCAACTGCATAATCAATGCCTCTGTATTTTTCAAAGTAAATAATTACAATTATGCAAAACCTAAGATGCTAAAGAAGCTAAAAATAAACCAAAATCAAACATTTATGAAGCGACTGATATATGAAAAGAAAAAAAGAAAAAAGCAAGTAGAAACTAATCTCATCATTTGCTTAAGCATATATTGTAGATGTTATGCAAATACCTAGCGAGTGAGAGGCATAGACCAAAAAACTCGGTGGCGTTACTACCGCTGCCAGATTGAATGTGAACTGCTAATCGGTCGGCTACAGCGGCTACTCTGAAGGAGTTCGCAAACGACGCCGACATCTTCTGTCCCGCTCCCACCGTCAGTCCTAACCCCGCCCTCGCCGATGGTGGCATCACCGTTCCCGTCATTTCACTCTGCTTTCTCTGTGTCAGACTCTTCAGTCTGTAACCGCTGGACGCTATAACTTCCTAAAAACGTATGGTGCTCTATATCATGCTCTGAAATTTGGTAAGGTAAAACGGTTCGGTGTTGAATTTAATTATGAGAATGCTTCTTAGGTTCTGTTGTTGATTTGTGAAAGGAGTGGTTTTGTCGGGCATACATGAAAAGGCTAAATTAATCCTGAATTTAGGAGCAACATTCAATTGCCAAAAATCAGCTTCTATAAAAAAAGCAAAAAGACAATTTACTAAAAAATTAAATATTTAATTTGGATCAAATATTATTAAGAAATAATTAAAAAATGATAATTATTTTTTCAAACCAATTTTCTGTATAATCAAATATTCTTTTTAAATCAAATAGTTTGTTTAATTATCTTTTAGCTCAAAGACAAGACAACGTAATTAATTATTGTATATTTTTAAATAATTTTTCTTTCTCGATTTTAGAATTTATTAATAATTTTATATAGTAAAAATATGAAAATTATTTTTTTTATGAAAAATTGTGTTTTTTATTCTTTTGATGCATGTTTAGAGAGTAAATTACAAAATTTGAATTTTGGATAAAACGAATATTACTCCCAAATTTAATGTTTAAGTTGAGTTTTATTTTTAACTAGTCGTTTCGCGTAATACTTAAATTAACATAAAAATATTAATAAAATAAAATAATTAAAAATTTTCAAACTTATAATAATTTATAAAGTTAAAACAATTGTAAAAAAATTTTAAAAATATATTCAAGATACAATCAAATTATAGAAAAATAAAATAAAATACTAAATTAAAAAAAAAACAGAAAGATGAAAGGAGTCAACATCTAAATTTTTATATTTTAGTTGAATAATTATTATTATCAAATATTTTATAATTAAGTGTATTTGAAATCTCAAAAAATATAATTGATTTTTGAATTTTTAAAAATTATATACAATAAAAGAAGAATTCTTGAAATATTTTTATATAAATTTTAATTATAAAAATTGATAGTTTTATTTATGTATTTATTTATGTATTGTCTCGTTACTTTAATTAATAATTCTTTACTGCTCACATGATGCTGGAGATTTAATATTATTAAAAATAAATTAATACACTATAAATAAATAAAAACATCAATTAAACTATTAAACATTTTAATAATATTTTTTTGTTAACATTTTTAATAAAAATCCAAATTAAATTAATTTGTTTCCATTATATTTTAAATTAAATTTGATGTGAGAGTATTGATTAGGATTTAATTAATAGAATGTGTTAGAGTCATATCATTATAACTATACTAGAGTTTGAGTAGAGATAAATTCATAAAAAAATGCAAATAATTTTTATTATTTAACTGTCAAAAATTAACAATTAATAATAGACATGCAACAATAACAAAGTCAAAAAGCAAGTAGAAAATATAAAACTCATCTATAATTAGTTCCACAACTATACAATCACATGACAAAATATAAATCTAAAATAAAAGCGGAATATTGTATTTGATATACTCGTACAACCATTTACTCCTTTGGCTTCTTTAAAACAACTCTCGTTTCATTAATATAGCTTATTAGTTTCGATTATACTAAAAGTACAATCAAATTATATATATAGTATTTTAGTGAATTAAATTATGTTTTAAAAAATAAGATTTTAGTTGGATTAAATTAAATTTTAAAAGTTATCAATTATCAATGCTATATATTAAAATATTAAATTAAAAAAAAAAAACAATTATGTTAGCCATGCAAAGCACAATAAATAAAAAAATAAAAACTCTAAATTTTCTAAAAAAAGAAAAATAGAATGCTGAACAAAGACAACTTTCATTTTGTTTCTGCTTTCATATGTATATAATATATATATATAAATATTTACTGTAACTTGATTTGATTTATTTCTTTCAATAATTAATAATCAAAACAATAAATAATGAAAAAAAACTCTTAAATATGTTAGTAATCACAAAATTAAACGTACCTTCTTCAAAAACCATCATGTTAACATCGCTATTTGTTTGCAATCATTTTTTTTTTTTTAACAATGCTAACCTTTTCAAATTATGATACAAAGGGGGTAGATTATATAATACAAAATTACAAAGCCCATTAAGGGCAGAAACTACAGCAGTCAATTAACAAATAAATTTTAAAATAAATTTCGAATAATTTCTTTACATTCAAACGTGCATTTCTATTATCACTCTATTTCAGGGTCAAAACATGTCAGAAAATTAATTAAGCAAAAGGCCCAACAACAACAACATATTTCACTTATCGGGTCGCAAATGACAAGATTTCTTTCTGCAACCATGAGAATTAAGTCCAACGGAAAATACAAATACAACGAAAAAAGCCCGACTACAAGAACAGACAAAAAGTCAACAACTATCAACTTGACTTGTGGTGCTTTCTTCATTGTGAAAACAACACTATAGTTCTATATTATTAATGATTGTTACCATAAGATTCAATATTTGAGACAGAGAATCCAATTAGTAGATGATGATGATTTAGAATCTAAAACATCTACCGTTTAAGTTTTTATACAAAACTAGCTTACGATAAGTAGCATATCATGTGTTATTTGGATAAGTGTTTTTGATATAAATTTTAAAAAAAATATTAAAATTAACAGAGATTCATGCCTATGTATTTCATTTCTGAGACTTGTACCATCTTTCACTGAATAGAAAAGGAGTCAGAAAATTACCTTTACCCACGTTGTGCGTATGTAAGGCAGTAATTACCACGCAGCAAATATTTTCAGGTAATGATTATTAGCTAAAAAAAGGATACTACCTTTCATTTTTAAAGAGGGCAATCAGAAAATGAACTAATGCCATGAGTTGAAAAGTGTTCACCTAGCCAATTGCAATTCAGCATAAAGTCAGAAGTTTCCCATTTTACATAATTTAAATAACTACCCATTTCACTGACAATGGTTGCCCCACCTACTATGACAGTGGTCACAAACATTATGTCTTCACATTTCACCTTTTCATGCCAAAACATGCAGTATTGATAGTCCTGGGACCTTGCCAAGCAGCAAAGTAATTCTGTTGTAGAAACCTTACACAAGACACAGGATGGATTGATTCCATTTGATATGCCACTTCAGATCTTTAAAAGCTAGTATAAATCGATCAACCCTTCCCCTGAAATTGAGAAATGTATTGTCATAATTCATTCAGCTTCATGGTGAGAAAAACAATCATATTTTGCCAGAAAAAGTTTCAAGCCTATCAGTTAGCCATCCAGCACCAGTATTCTCAATCAAACACTAAATGAAGATCAAGAAATGACCAATCTTGTTTTAAAATGAAAGGTCCAAAAATAAATTCTTAATTTTGACCCAAAATCGATGGACTACCTATACCACAATATCAAAATTCAGTCTAATGGAACTTCCTAAAGCCTCAATTATCATATAAATAAAAGTTCCCAGGTTTCAACCTAACATCATGAACATTTGAATAGATCAATAATGTTTAAATCTATAATGTTGAGATGCCATGTCTTCATCCATAGGATTCCAAGTGTCTAGGTCAATCGAAAGTTGAATTCTATCTGAACTACTCATTTTCAAATGATATCCACATTGACAAATGACGAAAATTTCCTTTTTGCCCATCTCCACTTCTAATTTAATTGAAGTGAATTCCCATAGATGCCAACAAACCTGATCTCAGTCATCTATCTCGCTGCCTATTCCTTTTGGAAGAAGGCTTTTTTGGGGGATAGGATCACATTCTACAAGCAAACTAAGAAATTCTAGTTTTCACTCTCAACTTCAATCATGATTTCTATCTTCTTAAAAAAACAAAATAAATAAAAAATTGGCTAGTGGTTTAGTTCAGTAGAATTTTAACCATGATAAAGACTTTTCCATAAGTTGGAACAGAATTCAAGGTTAATTTATCAGGCAAAGGGTAATTAAGGATTTACATACCTTATGTGGAGGAGTTCCAGGTCTCAACATGTTGTTTCCAAATCCCATTTTTCCTTTCTTCTCGGAGGATTTAAGGATTTGAAAAGAACAAGTCAAAGTATCATCCACACTCATCATGGCACCAGCATTATCAAACTCACCACAGTAATTTGGGGCGGAGAATATTGTTACCAGCTGCCGCTTTGCAAAAAACTCATAACCATCTTCAACAACCTATTAGTCATGCTCATAAATAGAAAAGACAAATAGGCATTAATTGATAATCATCCTATGATAATATGCATATTGATCTCCATGTCATGGCTATGTGAATGACCATGAGCATGCAAAATTAATGATAACATGACCAATTGCATCCACCTCTCTTTCGACAAGTTTTGTTAATATATTTGATATGATATTGAAAAGGTAACTTAATAAACTACAATATAAGAAGGAAAAACAGAAAACGGGAAAAATTCAGTGACCAATTAATGAAAAATCGGATCCAGTCAACATGCTTTTGACAAGCATGACTACAAATGCCCAAGTAGAAAAGCTTATTCACATAAGATTACCTGATGGGCTCGACAAATGAGATCAAGGTCATGTTTCCCCAGGAACTCAGCAACCTTGTCAGCCCCAAAGGTATATGACACCCCCCTGTCATTCTCTCCCCAGCCCTCGATATCTTTATCAGGATCAGCCCATAATAAATCACATAGAAGTCCCTGATCCGGCACATCAACAGGTCGAGCAATATTCCTGATCTGATCCAAACTTTTCAGGTCAGGGGATAATCCACCATGCATGCATAGGATCTTTTCATCTATAAGAGCAGCAACAGGCAGACAATTAAAGCATTCAGTAAATGTCTTCCAGATGCGAACATTAAACCTCCTCTTGCACTCATCATAAAACCCATATATACGGTTGATGGAAGCACATTCATGGTTGCCCCTCAGAAGGAAGAAGTTCTCCTTGTATTTGATCTTGTAGGCAAGGAGGAGGCATATTGTCTCTATGCTCTGCTTACCACGATCAACATAGTCCCCCAAAAATAAATAGTTTGCTGCCGGTGGGTACCCACCATATTCGAACAACCGTAGAAGATCAGAGAACTGACCGTGAACATCTCCTGCCAACGCAATGGACAAACAGCTCATAGCTACCTCATTAATCTTATTAACTAACAATCGACAATTACAGGTTAGATACATAGCTGAGATGGCTCATGGCTCAAGCTTTAATATGAAAGGATGCATCAAGCTTTAATCTTAAGGTAATAAGCAAACTGGTTGTGCCAAAAAAAAACCCCCAACAACTTTTAACATCCATTTCCTTCTCCTTTCATACAATAATGGAGAGAAATGCACACATCTCTATCTATGCATTGAACAAGTTACGCAAACATTGTTTATTTCTCCTCATTTAATACACAAGCCCTTCAAAAACAAGTAATGACATGAAAGTACTACATTGAGTACTCTTGAGGCTAATTAACAAATGCACCATAACAGAAGAAGAAGAAGAAGAAGAAGAAGAAGAAGAAGAATGATGGTAATAACAATGCAAAATCCAATTAAAGCTAATGTTCTTGCAAAGTGCAATGCAATCACAATAATAATACCTAAAAGGGCTGATCGATAAGCTTTGCAGATTTGACACTTAACAAATTACCAAAAACACAAATGTGTAATCAATTATAAGAAGCTGGAAATTCGTTGCAGTTATCAGCAACTCAATGCAATAAAAACGTACAGCTCTTTAAAATAGTAAAATATTGATCTATTACCAAACACGTGGTTTAAAACACCATATAACAATGTTGCTTAGAAAGGATGGGCACGAACCCCCTTAACCAAAGCCCAGCTCAAAGTCACATGCTTTGACATGTGTACCAAACAGCCATGATAAACAAGGTACCATACCAGATATCTTGACAAGTCTAACACATACAAGCCAACAAGAAGATCCCACGCGCTTGTCCACACTCAAAAAAAAAAAAAAAAAAAAAAAAAAATCACAAAAAAAAAAAAAAAAAAAAAAAAAACTCCAAACAGAAGCCCTGTAGGCCTATGTGGAAGATTAAAGATCAATATCCATCCAATTTCAAAGACTAGGCTAAGCAAAAAAAAAAAAAAAAAAAAAAAAAAACTCCAACAGAAGCCCTGTAGGCCTATGTGAAGAAAAGACAATATCATCCAATTTCAAAGACTAGCTAAGCAGTTCTCCAAGTCCCCTAGCTTACTTAAAAGTGCCTAAAGATCTTCAAAAGCTTTTCTGGGGCCTTTGAAAGGAAATGGCTATAAACATGCATAGTTCTCTAATCCAAGCGATTAAAAGAAAGCCTTGATTTCTTTTCTCTATACGCTTTTCTCCTCCCAAAATTCAAGAGGCAAAAAAAGAAAGAAAAGGAACAAAGAAATAAATGTCAGTTTCACCAATTACATATGAATTAGACATAAACCTCGCAACAAAAATGAAACAACAGTCACATCCGCCACTCAAATTATGCATTTACTTGGATGCTAAAGTACCAGCGGTCAGCAATTTATGGATGCCTTCACAAAGCCGCACCATCGGATAGCGGGATAAAAAGGATCTTCAACTCATATCAATTATGTACATGTAATATTCACCGAAGTATGCTACAAAAAGCCAATAGTTGAAGTTGTATTCATATTACTTACCATCCACATCAGTGTTAACTTAAAAGCTTTTCATTCAATTTCTACATGTTAACTCCTTAGCCAAGTAAGTTGATCATCATCGTGCAAATTCAACAATCAGCTTATAAACGTTAGGACATACATTTAACAACCGATTCACAAAATTTATTTGCTATCTACTTATTGAACCCATGCAGTAAGCACACTGTTGACACTTTTCTTATCAAAGCAAATTCCAGAATATATTTGTGTATAAATAAAAGCCCGAGCATCAAACAGACATCAATCAAACAACACATACTTTCCAAAAGAACAAGTTTTTCAAAATAATAAAAAATTAAAAAAATTGCACAAATTTAACAATATTAGACATGCTGTGAGGCGGTAGTGTTTGTCATATATAAATTACCACAAATCTTTATAGGAGCTTCAAGCTCGAGAAGGTTAGGCTGACTGAGAAAGATCTGTTTCGATGCTACACAAAGCTGCCGGATTTCTGCCTCCGTCAGCTGCACTTGCTTCGTCGTCCTCCCGTTCTTTGCCTCCACTAGCCGCCGTATAATATCGTCAAGTACACTCTCGTCCATTAAAAACAAACCTCAAAAGTCCACGAAAACCCTAATAATGACTCTCCCTGTGTCTGCGTCCCTCTCTAGAAACTTCTTTTAGCAGGGGAAAGTGATGAAGGGAGATCCAATACCCTTAATTAAAGCCAAAGAGAGAAGGATAATGATACCGAAAGGTATAGCGTTAAAACTAACGGCGACCAGATAAGCAAGATTCCGGCGAATAGAAGCGGGGAGTTTTTTTTATGTTTTCTAGTTAGTGGTGTATTTGGTCAATGGTATCGTGCGTGGCGGCCGTTTCCCGCTCGGTATTGACAGACGGAGTTAAAAGAGGATATTAGAGAGTGGTAAGGAGGGACCCAATACAAATGAACCAAACGGCCCCTAGAGAGTGACAGAGATAAAGAAAGAGAGGATTTAAATTTTAAAAAAAAATTAAAAAGAAAAATAGCGAACGCCTTCTCGAAACGTGGGCACGCAGCTCGCACGTGCGGTTTTGGACGAGTTGGTCAAAATGAGATTGATCTTAACTTTCTTCTGCAATCATGATTAGACTGATGAGGTTTATGATGAGGACAAGTGGACGACCGCTAATAATATCAGAGATATTTTTCCAACTCTGTTGTGGTGTTTTACTTTTACTTCTTTTGAGTATTAGTTGAAGAATTAAATATTAAAATTCAGCCTCCCATTAAGTGATTTTAGATTATTCTTCTTATATCAAATAGACAATTCGATTTGTATAAATGAAGCAATTTTTAGTGTAAATCACCAAATTTTCAATAAAATTTTCAACACGACTTTTAACATTTTTGACACAGTTTTTTTAAAAATTATTTATCTAAAAATACTATTTCTTCGAAATAATTATTAAATTTTAATGATTTAATATTAAAGTTTGGTATTAAATTTTATCAAAATGATTCTTGAGTAAATTAATTTTTAGTTACACGTTTTAACATTTTTAATAAAAATTTAGTGAATTATTTAATACTTATTTCATCGTCTCAAAATATAAATCGTTTAAGATTTTTATACGAAATTAAAGAAGTAATTAATTCTCTTAATTTATAAGAAAAAAAGTTATATTAAATATAGTAATAATGTAATATATTTATAAATTTTATTTTTATTGATATACCAGATCCGCTCTCTTCTCCACCGCCACACTTTTTATAGCCGAAATTAAGAGAGTAATTAATATCTACTTAAATTTATAGAGCTAAAAATAAGGGTTATAATTTTAAATATATAGTAATAATGTAGATAACGATAGCTTGTAGTAAATTTTATTTTTATATGATTGAAAAAATAAAAGTAATGTGTATTTTGGATTAATTATATTATATCTATATATCGGTACATAATTAAAACTATAGGTAAGAAAACTATATATTTAATTATTATTTAATTTGATTGGATAAATTATTTCCGTAACAAGTATTTGAATTCTAACGCGCAAAATAAATAATAGATTTATTATTATTTATATAAGATATAATTAATAAAGATTTAAGAAATTTGAAATAAAATAAAAAAATAAACATTCCCCTAAATATAGTATATGCAAATAAAAATGTTTAATATAACAGTTAATAGTTAGTCCAAATATATAATATATTAAATTTTTTATTTCGTAAAGAATATAATAATCATGTAAATTAATTATAATAGTCATGAAATTTTAAACCAAGAGTAAAGAAGAAACGTAAGTAGAGTAATCAAAATTAATAAACTGATGCTCTAAAAACAATTATATTTACTTATAATTTTCTGAAAAAGCAATTAATCTCCGCATACGAAAAATCAAATGGACTTAATTTGTAAAGAGTTTTGTGTTATCGGAAAAATTAAATCTATGCGTTTTGATGCTAACTATATACGATCAACCTCTATAAATACTCTTATTATCGATGTACCTTGTTCAGATTATTTTACATTTTTTTTTTACTAGTTCGTTTTGCATTTAATTCGTTTCAAAGGACATTGAAAAGAAATATATTATAAAATTTAAGATTTGAAATAAAATAAAAAATAAAATTCCCTAAATATATATATAAAATATAAAATGTTAATATAACATGTTATATTAGCAAAATATATAATATATTAATTTTTTTTCTAAAATAAATAATCATAAAATTAATTATATAGTCATGAAATTTAACAAAGAGTAAAAGAAGAAAGTAAGTAGAGTATCAAAATTATAAACTATGCTCTAAAACAATTATATTTACTTATATTTTCTGAAAAAGCAATTAATCTCCGCATACGAAAATAAATGGACTAATTTGTAAAGAGTTTGTGTTATGAAAAATTAAATCTATGATCTAAACTATAACGATCAACTCTATAAATACTCTTTATTATCGATGTACCCTTTCAGATTATTTACATTTTTTTTATACTAGTTCGTTTTGCAATTTAATTCGGTTCAAAAATTGAAATCATCTGCTCTCTTACCTCGTAATTATTACCTTACCTATTGAACCCAACAAGATGGTTCATCGTACCGTTCTCGTCGATTGTAATTTTGTACGGTAAAATAGTTAAATGTTCAATTCTATCGAGTGTCCCCCTCGAGAAATGCTCAACGGTGTCGTGGTAAATTGGTCATTACAGTTAAGCGGTAAAAACATGCCTGTAAAGTTCTGCATTTTCATTGGTCAGATCCTTCACAGATCGACATGTGGACCACGGATGACTCATAAGATTTCTTACTTTACGAATATATTGAATCTTGATTGGACAGTGCAGCGTGAAAACAATTCAGATGACGAAAATGCCCCGCACAACAATTTTTGATTGGATAAGGCCATGTCAAGAAATTTGAAATGACTGCAATGCCCCCACCCAACAAAAACCAGGCGTTAGGATGACTCTGATGATAAACCCCACCGGAATATTCCCTGCCGACGGATCATTTTGAAATTAAACTGACCAAATCCCGAAAACTATATATACTTCTTTTTCTGATATCCAGTTTTTGCCCTAAATGCACTACTCCTCTCCCTCGCCCCCACCTAGCGGCTCACATGCTCTTCACTTCCAAAGGCATCACTTTCCTTCACTTTCTCCCTCCAAATCTTCAGTCTTCTTCATCGATTTCTCCGACGGCGGGTCAAAAAGGCCCGTTTCTGCTCGCTCTTGACTCTGGTGGTCCAGATCGCTAAGTATGTGCATTTGGTTGTTGTTAATTGGTCGGCTTTGAGGCTTCAGACTTGACGATGGATGCTGTAAAGTTGAATTATCCTGTGGATGTGGCGGCACCGAGGCTCTTGGAATCGGACGGCGGCTTTGGTAGAGATAGGGTTACGGTGATGGAGGTGGAGGTGGAGGCAGAGACTTGCGAGTCTAATCGTGAGCTCTGCAACTCTTTGCTGAGTGAAAAAGGTGGTGTCCTTGCCTTAATTTATATCTCAATTTTGTATTATCGGTATTGTGTCCGTTTAGTTTTAATTTTGTGCCATATTTAAGCTTTACAACACCTTAGGTGACACGGGAGGGAAGTTCTTTTTATTTCCGTATTATGGAGTTTGTGAGAACTTCACAATTGGTTCGGCTGTAAGCTTTGAAGTGGGGTACATGTTTTGTGTATGGCAAATACCTGTGATTTCAAAAGGTATGGTTAGCGAGAGCATCAGCTTGATGATTCACTGAGAGGGCGTTTTCAAAGGGTTGTGAGAGCTTTTGCATGTTAATTGACTGGGTGGGAGAAAATGGTTAAAATGTTTTGCTCGAAAAGTAGCGTACAATTTGAAAAAAACGCTGGACCTATATCCTGTTGCAAGACTTGTGGCCACAAAATTAGAAGCTGAGGATTCATTGAACCAGAGAGGCCATTAGATTGGATGATTACTTGTTTTTATCATATTGTTGTGTGTTTTCTTTGAATGTTTCCGTGTAGCTAGTAGCTACCAATTCTTTCATTTTGTATAACAATGATAGCTTTAATTAGCTCGCAGATAGTGCATGGCACATCTGGGCTTTATGGAAGAAAATCTGATGCACTTATAATGAAATACTTGTTTATATGGTAGTTAAGGAAGTGACAAGCAAGAGTGCTTCCACACATATGAGCAGAAAAAAATGTTTCCTACAAATTGGTTAGCTGTGGAACTATAGCCAAGATTTGTGCACATAAGCGTCTAAATTGGAGAATGAGTCCAGAAGCTCCTGTGGGAAGTGCAACTGAAAGGATTTTGGCTTTAATAACTAATAAAGAAGATTTTGAGCTATTAAACCCTAATTGTATTTTGTTTTATTTATATCTCCTTCTTTGGCTGGTTGTGGGTGTTTATTTTTTTCTTTCATTAACTGTATGGCTTAATTTAACATTTCGTGAATGTGAATGGGCAGGTGCAACAAGCTCAGCTAATTTTGCAGAGTCAACGCCAACTGTTAAGGTTCCAGATCCTGAACTTTGTCGGCAAACTATTCATGTATCCAGCTTTCCTAGCGATGATGTGTCTAAACAACACAACTGTCGCGGTGTAAATGGTCCTCCGTGGATTCCTAGGCCTGAAGAAGTGCAATTTACAAAAAAAGCAGGACAAGTGTCAAGAGGTGGTAGCGGGTGTTCTAAAAGACCGCGAACAATTCTATTGGAAGATGCGAATTGTCCAGTAGCATTCGATGAAACAAAGAATCCATCCAATAAGCTAGGATCACAACCCACAAAATGTGACTCTCCTGGTAATGCCATTTTACTTTAAAAGTAAACCAATAAAATTTAGCTAAATACAGTGATGTTTCACATATAGAAGCTCTTTGGAATACTGATATGTTGCTATTATAGTTCTATTGCTATCAAATATGACAGGTCTATTAGCATGCATTTATTTCCTTCGCTTATTATTATCAAAATATTTGCAAACTTGAGGCAATTTTTTGGAGGGCAAAACTATTTTTTCTTTCTTCCTCTATGGTAATATAATTATTTATATTCTTATTTATTTCATTCTTTATATGCAAGTTATTTCAAAAGTGATGCGATCAATCTTTGAAGATCTTGAATTGATTTAGTTTTGCTTGTCACTGAAGATTGTTGGCATCTCTCAATTTGGATTAGAGCTGAAACAATAATGAGTACTATCCATGAGTAATTATCTAGTTTTGCTAGATAATCCGTGAAATTTAGCGTTCTAGTTCTGACTCCTACAGGAGTATGTCCTTTTTGTTCTAATTATGTTGTCATTGCAAATTTTTGTTCTAGATAAAACTCAATTGGCAAAACAAAAGAACCACTTCAGTGGAAAACGAGGGGATAGGAGAAATTCCAAAACTTCCACGAAGAGTAGATATGATTCCTTTTCTGTAAAGGCAAGTTTGGCGAGCTTAAATTCAGCTGCCTCAGGGAACAACTTCTTTGGTACGATTTAGTGAGACAATTTTCTTTCCCCAATCTTTCGATTGATTCTCATGACATTAGGAATTAAGGGTTCCAAAATTGTTGGAACCTGCATTTGTATGTATTATAGCATATAGCAACATGTACAAATTTATACTGCATTTGTCAGAATCTCTGACACTGTTTGGTAGGTAGTTTATATCATCTTATAATTTTACCGGTTTCACTTTTTTCTACGTTCATCTTCTGATTCTGGATCTGGAATTGCTATTTAGTTTTCATTTTGATGATTATTTTTGTGGCATATCTGTTCCTTTTTCCCCTTTGCTTTTCACTTGTGTGAAACTCATATTTGCTCAATTGCATTTCATGTCAGGATTATATGGTCTGAAGACAGATGTCCATGACATCACAAAACTTGTAGATAATTTATCATTGAATGAACTTCTTCAAGGCACTTACAAGTGTCCTAGCTTAGGCAAAGAGAAGGAAAAGATAGCAACAAATACAATGGAAGATATTCTGCATTCAGTTAGAAAGGCTTGTTCTATTCTTCAGCTCTCTAGGTCTGCGCAATTCCAAAATTTTGCTGAGGTAGATAGCTTTTCCAATGAGAAAAGCCCCACGTGCCAAGTTACCTCTATTCCTGTTGTGAATGGAGATAATTGTGATTCATCTACAACAAATCTATCTTTCTCCAACAAGGTTAGTCAAAAAGATGATCTAGTAAGATAAATGTCTGGATGCAGGGGAATATTTTTTGTATAGTAGCATTATATGTTGACTTAAATGACTATAGGTCTATTTGTGAAAATTGTTGTAGCTGCTGCTGAAAATAATACTATATTGAATTTGTTGATTAGAAGAAATGGAAACTTGTTTTCAGATAGCTTTGCTATTATTAGATCTTGAAGAACTGCAGAACAGCAAAATAAATAAATAAATTGTCTTTGGAAAAAAATTTAGAATGTGGTGTTTTAGAAAAGCAATTTTAACTCCAGTATTAAACAGCCAGTAACTTTGAGAAATTTAATTATGGAAACTACTTCATTTGTCCTTTCCTCGTTCTGTCACCCTTCTTTTGCCATGTGCATTTTGGTTCTCTCTTTAAATAATTTTAGAATTTGCTCTTAGACCTATGCCATCTCACGCATCTTTTAATCCCCACTTTATCAATCTAATCTGCTAGTGAAACTGACTGAAAGTTGGGACATTGATGTGCTGTTGTTTTATTAAGTCAGTAGGTTCCCCCTTCCCCCCGATCTTGAATTTTGTTTTTACTTTTCCTCTTGACATTAATTGATAATGATTAATTATGAATGCACTAATTTTTTTCCCTTTCCAAAGATACAGGATTCTTGCAGTCAGTTTGAAACTCCCACGAATTTGCTCGATGTTTCATTCAACCAACCTAAAGATACATTAGAACGTTTAGCACTTCCTCCACCCAAGGATTTGGAGACTTTGCTTATGGATGCAGCCAAGCCTACTGTATCTTCAAGGAATGCTCCTGATCCACGTCCAGGCAAGCAAGTATCTCGTCGACCTAGCTTGCCCTCTTTTCCATGGTCGAACACTTTTAATGGGCATTGTAGAAACAATTCTGATGCAGTTAAGCTTTTAGCAAGTAGGAGCACATGTCAAGGTCGATGGGTAAAAATAGGGAAATCTTTCAATTCACTCGGGACTGCCTCTAATAGTTTTGTAAACTTGGAGTCCTTTGCTTATGATGGGACCCTAGTTCCTGTATCCGGACCAAAGCTGGACTTCCTGGAAACTAGCAATATTGCTTCATCTACGTCTGCTACTCATTGCGAGTGGGGTTCATCACTAGCAGCAGCTTCTATGACATCCCATACTCCTCAGGGCAGTACTTCCATTAAGGGTTAGTTCTTTAGAGTGGTCTTTTGACACTTGAATTCTATGTCAGATGTATGGACATTTTTTTAAATAGCTTTCTAATGAAGTCATTTTTCTTCCAAATGCAGAATCTGCTGGTGACCTGAAGAATCAAGAAAGAGGTAAGATTTTGCAGTTGCTAAAAATTTTGTTCCCCTTAAATTAATAATAGGAAACTTGCCCATAATTTTATATTTGAACTGAATCTCTTTGCATGACGCGCACCTCTTTATGTATGTATTTTTTTCTCGTGACAGTTGACCGTTGTCCAAGACTATTGGCAGCTGCTCAAACCTTGTATGACATTGCCACTTATACATCAAGGCTAAACCAAGATGGAACAAAGTGGCCAAAGAAGCCTTCACAGAAGGCTATGAGAGCTCGCAAATCAAAATCAATTGAGAAACCTGAAGAAGTACTTGCATCAACTTCGACAGGGGGGTCTGATCATACGGCAAGAAATGGGGCTGACCCAGCATTGATCTCAAAGAGGCCTAGACTCTCAACTATTGAGAATAAGAAGGATCTTGTACATATCAATGGTGTGCGTAAAGGTCCGGTAAATTGGTCCACACCTAAATCAAGTAGATCATCGCCTAACAAAGCAGCGAAGGAGTTGACTGCCTACGTTGTAAAGCAATCATGTATGATGCCACCACCTGCGAAAGTAATGAATAGAAACAGCAATGGCCAACAAAAGGTACGTAAGCTAATGCGAATGGATTGGAACCGAGAAAGTGATAGGCAGGACTGATAATATGCCTCCTAATTCTTGTGATTTCTCAGTGCTGGTGCTGCGCATGACCTGCCAAGCTGTGTTGATGTATATAGTAAGAAGGGGGGGGGGGGGGGCTACGTTGTAAAGCAATCCAATGTATGAATCCACCCACCTGCGAAAAGTATGAATAGAAACCAGCAATGGCCAACAAAAGGTACGTAAGCTAAAGTGGCGAATGGATTGGAGAACCAGAGAGAAGTGGATAGGCAAGGACTGAGTAATATGACCTCCTAATTCCTTTATGATTTTTCAGTGCTGTCTGCGCATGCTGCCAAGCTGTGTTGATGTAATAATAGTATGGAAGGGGGGGGCGGGGGTGGGGTTGGGAGTGGAGGACGTAGGATACAACGTATGGAAAGCATGAAATTTGGGGTTTGTAATAGTGTTAGCTCTCGAGGAGGTGACAGCAGGATGTTGGTAACATTAAGGATTACTTGTAGTTTAACAGCAGGAGAAATTTCTTTGCGCTGGTGTAGAGCATGTTATGAGGCAATAGAAATTATCAGTTATACTTTTTTCTCTCTCTTTTTCCTTCAATTGCTCAGATTAAAAATAGAAATGCCATTTGCAAAATCCATTACATGAAACATGGAATGGAAAATAGAATCCCAGTTTGTCTATTTCATTATTCACTAAGCATTAAGTGGATAAAGGACATGCATAAACAAACATTATTATTCCATTGTTTTTTGGACATGGATCATTCTCCTTCCATTTCTTAATAACATTTCATATTTCATTCACTGAAAGTTATATAAATTAATGAAGGATAAAAAAATGGACAAAACGAGTAAGAGATGTGAAGGCCATCTTGGCTCGTAGAAGATGAGAAAAGGTTATCGCATACAGAGAGGGGGGTGGGGTTGGAGTGGAGGGACGTAGGATTACAACGTAGGAGCATGAAATTTGTTGTAATAGTTCGCCTCGAGGGGTGAGCAGGGATGTTGTAACATTAAGGATACTTGTAGTTTACAGCAGAGAAATTCTTTGCCTTGTGTAGAGCATTTATGAGGCAATAGAAATTTCAGTTCTTTTTCTCTTCTCTTTTTCCTTCAATTGCTCAGATTACCAAAATAGATGCCTTGCAAAACCATACATGAAATGGAATGGAAAATAGAATCCCAGTTTTCTATTTCATTATTCACTAGCATTAGTGGATAAGGGAATGCATAAACAAAAAACAATATTATTCCATTGTTTTTTGGACATCATTCTCTTCCATTTCTTATAACATTTCATATTTCATTCCTGAAAGTTATATAAATTAATGAAGGATAAAATGGACAAAACGATAAGAATTGAGCCATCTTGCTCGTAGAAATGAGAAAAGGTTATCCATACAGAGAAAATAATGAAGTTTATATGTAGCCGTTGTTCGAGCCTAAGGGAGAGGACAGTCTTTAATTAGCATGCGAGAGGCCAACACTTTGCATCTCTATCTTTATTCTTCATAACTCATTTTGTCATTTCCATCATTGACCATTTTTGTCTTTGAAAACATTAGCAAATCGTAGTAAGCAATTTGTAGTTTTTCCCTTTCCATTTACCTCCTGAACCATATAACTAGAAAAAAGATATCAAAAGGGCCTAACTATTGCAGCTTTGAAAAGTTACATTGTTCCTTTGTTTTTCAACTTTTCCTTTTTGACCAACAAAAATTAAATTCCTGGAATTTAGAACAACTGAATGCTTTCTTTAACTGACAACTCGATGCATTCTTCTCCTTTTCTTTTTTCTTTTTTCTATCAAACAAGCATTTCCTCATTTCTTTTTTTATTTTTTCTAACTAATTCCCCTCTTTATCTCTAAAACATAACAAACATACAGTTTCTACTTAATCTGAAAAAAAGAATTAAAGAAAAAGAAGAACTGTACATATAACTTAATTAAAAAAAAAAAAAAATCTAGGAAAACATTTGATCTAACAACAAAACCAGAGCCATAGCAAATCCAGGATCAAACCCTCCATGTACAACCAAAACAAAAACCTCTACTCCAAAAGAAACTCCTCGAACTATTGCTTCTTTCCGTTTGATCTCTGCCACCGTAGTTCTTGATTCATCTACCACTTTACATGATCTCTGTGTATAAGAACCTTCAATTACATATGAATATCTTTTCTCTGCAGTTCCTCTAAATACATATGCAAGCACATTATTATTATTATTGTTCTTACTTGCTTGTAGAATGTTACTGTGCTTCTTTACACTCCAAATTGGCTTCTTTGATATTCTTGTTGTTGAACAACATTTACCCACTTCTCCTTCATAGACAAGCCAACTATCTCCCAATCCAAGCTTCTGTAAGAAAAAAGAAACCAAAATTTTTCTTTTGTAATTTAATATAATTTACTGAATGAAACCAACCAGATCATACCTTCTTACGATGCATTGTGAGAATAGATTTTCCTGAGGCATCCATAAGAACAAGCTCGTGAGGACGAACAATATAATTATCGACACGATAAACTAAATCTCCATTAGAATTAATAACTGTAAATCCATTGCAATTAACTAAAAGTGATTTTCTCCACACTGTTAATGACGTACATGTCCCATCAGTAACGATCTTGGACGTCTGATCTTGTTCTTGATGGTGGTGTTCTTCAATATCATCATGAACCGATCTTGACAAAGATTTCAAGAAAAAGAACATTCTTCTTTCTTTGTTAGTGTCTGTCTCTCTATATATCTCAAAAGCTTGAGGAGATATTTATATGATTTATATTTATAGAAATGTATGTTTGAATGTGTAGGAATCTTTTGTGATTTTGCTTTGCTTGTTAGAAGGGAGACATGTGCGCGTGTGGCGCGTGGCTATTGGAAGGTTAACAAAATTTTCCTTGTTATAGTTTCTACTATAGACAAACCTTACCTAACTGGATATGCCCTTTGTCTTGTACAGTCATTGTATTATTTGTATATGGGTGATTAAGAAAATAATTAAGTTTTATTTTTTGAGTATTTAATTAATCTAGCTAATTACTATATTTTTAACGTTGGAATATGCGACACGTGTTTGTTTCCAAATATTGTCAAATTGGGATTCTGATTTCCCTTGTTTCTAGTGATGAGATTTGTATTTTCTCTAATCCTTGCTATATATACTTTCCTGAAAATTTATAATACATGTTCCTTGTAAACATTTTACATGGAATCACTGTTTCATTGTATAAAGTCGACCAGCAATTTATATGATGCTGCCAAGTTGATTTATATATATATATATTTTATTATTATATATATACTTACCACTAAATTTAGGGGCATTTGGTTTAGCTGTTTCATGCGACTAACAGCTATTTCATACTCAACAATTATGCTGTATGTGTTTAGTAAATTTTTTTAATCAGATAGTTGATAGAAATTTCAATCGACTGCTGTTTCTATTAGCTACATTTTAGAGTTTTTTCGTATCAGTTGATGGTTGTTTTGTATTTATATTATTTTGGACTTTATTAACCCCATACAAATAATTGCTAATATTGTTTTTTTTTCAAATTAATATTTTTTTTTATGATCATTCTATTCATAGTTATTTAAAAATGATTTTTTAAAAATATTACTTTAAAAAATTTTAATTATTATTTTATTTTTATAATACATTAAAATAAAAATAAATATATTCATCTTAAATAAATTAATATATATGTATATATCATAATATATAAAAATAATTATACCTTTAATAATCATTTTATATTTTCACAGTAACCGCTATTAATATTTTGCCAAACACAAATGATAATCAAATAATTACCGTCAACCATCAACTACCAGTTATCAGTAACTATTCGAGGTAATAACTGATACGAACCGCTGGACCAAACCCACCGGTCTTTACGTTCAAAAAACAAAGCGGCTTGAGCAATGATGTTGACAACAATAGTGCATGTTTACATATTTTAAAATACAGTTGGTCAATGATGGGTATATAGGGCCTTGTGTTTGTACATGTCTATAAATTATGATAACTATAATTCCAGCAATGTTCCGTTGGAACACGTCTTTCCTCTAATGGATAAGGTAACCATAATTAAACGATTAGCACCTACTTTTGCCCCTCATTTTATCGTTAATTAAAACTTCTTCATGCTACGAATTACGAAACACCCTTGTTTTGGATCTTAATGCTGCTAATTATAACCAATTAATCATAATAAACCATTGATTTCATATTCATTACGTGAATAATTTGAGTTTTCGAAGGTCTGAATATATAAAATCTTTACTGATAATGATTTTTTTCTTAATTACCTGATGTGACATGAATAGAATTATACCCAATTCAAAGATCGGGAATACTTACAATCTGATAAAAAAAATAAAAATTTTAATAATATAAAATAATTCAACATTTCAAATTTCACATCATTATAATTTTTATTTCAAATTTGTAATTCTTAAGTAAAATTCTTATGATTTCAATCATACACGTAAAATTTGGACCCACTTCTCTTAGTTCATAAATCAAAAATCTTTTTTCGTTTTTGACAATAACTGAACATGTGTCCTCTAACTACTGGATATTTGACGATCAGTTAGTTCAATAAATGTGATTTTCTTACTACAAATTGTACAGAAGCAGCCGACCATGACCACACAATAAAATATTTCAAATTTCGAACCTTTTGAACATGTTCTTCCTTTCCTTTCTGGATACTGTGTTCCTTTCAATAAGCTAACTTTCTAGAAACTGACAAAATAGCTGAACGTGCATATCCAATCTAATTTTTACACAGCTCCTATTTACCACTTTGTTTCTAACTCCAATCATGCATAATCAAAACGGTGATTCAATAGCATAAAGTAACTATAAGATGTCCCTATAAATATCTTTCTTTTCCATAATGGAGCTATCTTACGATTGCAGTAATTTATCATCTGATGAATTAGGCTCTTTTCACTAAATAATTTAGCTTTTTAACTCTTTTCACTAAACAATAATTAGCTTTTTAATTACTTAAAATTAAGAGAATAATCGATATTTGACACCAAACAGTTTTGATAAATAATATGTTTCTGTCTCGTAAAAGAGGAATTTATTTAATAATAATTGAGAGAAAAGAGATTGAGATGTTACCGTTGCGTAAACTATTAGAGTAAAATAGTAATAAAAATTATCAGTTTTTCAACAAGGTTTTGGGTTAAAACTTTCAACTTTCAACTCGAGATTTTGAGGTAATGGGGTATGAAATAAAGGAAAATTTTAATTAGACCGGTTTACGGCCCTACTCATAAACCAAACCAATGAGAATAAAATTTTTTTATTGAAATGAGAATATTTCTAACTATACACTAAGAAAAAAAAAAAATAAAATCAAAATATTTTTTAAAAAATAATTAGTGTCGTTGATTTGATCCATAAGTGTAGCTATGGATCCAGTCTAAGCAAGTAATTTTCTAAAATAAACTATAAATTTCAATAATTTCTAAAAAAGATTTTGCGTCACTGTTTATGAATGCAATTGCAATGGCAATAGCAATGGCCACCCAAATCTTGCCTTTAAAAAATGTAAAAGATTCTTTGGACGTTTCTCATATGTTTAGACAATCAATGAACACAGGTAATATATTATTTTATTCTAAACAAACAAAAACAACGTAGAAGTATTTCTGGTCCGGAAGGGAATTACATGCAAACAGTGAAGTAACACACGTGGCCATATTCAGAACCATACTATGCATGGTATGGTGGGTCCATTTCTGGTATTAAATTATTGATTATTCAATGCCAAATCGAGGAAATCGGAAACTTACGAGAAGCTGCGAAAACCACGTGCTCATTTTTTAGTTGATGATGTTTGTCATTGCTGTATATTCTTTTTAAAATCATCAACTTCCGAAATCCGTAAACTCACAGATAGAGGGCACAGCCTGCGCTTCCTATCTAAGTTTTCATGGATGCTGAATTTAAAATTTGAATTTCGAAACTTCTAATTAAAGGAAGAAAAATATTTACCGTTTTATTTCAGTTTTGTGTGGTTGATTGCCCTGTTGTATTTGCTTTCTAGTTACTCCCATATTATATTTAAGTGGCCTTAAAAGTGTATACATTGTTTATTCTAATTATCAATAATTAATTTCGAAGGGAGAAAAAATTATTAATTGAGAGAAAAGATGATCCTTTAGTAAAACTTTTTTAAAGAGTCGCGATTTCAAATTTCGAAACCCTAATTTTGTTTCAAATTTTAAACACTATTTCAAAAGTAATACCACTGAACACTATAAATAAATAAAAACACTAAAAGCTATGTGAAAAATTATTGCCAAAGAAGGCCTTTGAGGATGCAATTCACTCTCACATTCCCTTAGGGCGGAAAACTTTCTCTATCAGCAAAAAATTTTCCTCTGCTGTTTCATTGGTCCTTGTCCTTCATCTCCTCGTAGCTTTTAAAGGGCAAGTATCCTTGGGCCAAAGCTAGTACAGCTTCTACAATTAAAAATGGGCCTATAGACCCATACATCAAACCTACCTTATTTAGCCTCTGTATCCAAGTAAACACTAGAAATGTTATTTCACTTTTATCTAATGGGCTTGGGCTCTCATACCTAAGATTTCTGTCATTTAGTTGGGCTATTTTCTCCTATCTTTTTAAATTTGTGTTTAGTTACTGTCCTCGAGCAATTATTTTCCTTTTTTTTTTTTTTTTTTTTTTGGGACTTGGCTCTCATACCTAAGATTTCTGTCATTTAGTTGGGCTATTTTCTCCCTATCTTTTTTAATTTGTGTTTTAGTTACTGTCCTCGAGGGCCAATTATTTTCCTTTTTTTTTTTTTTTTTTTTTTTTTTTTTTTCATTTGTGACCCAACAAAATCAATCTCATAATTTTAAATCAAAACTTTCTTTGTCTCTCTCTCTCTCTCTCTTTAATTTGTTTGGTTAGGACAAAGAGATCAATTTTCATTTCTTAAAATAATTATTCTTTTCGTCCTCCTAAGTCACTAAGGAATTCTTTTTGGAAGTATATCATCTCTGAAATGGAAGTTTCTATCATTTTATTAAAGTCAGGAAGCCATTGAAGTTTGTCTGCCATGGAAAAATATGAGGCACAAAAGAGCCCACATGTCTTGAGTATTAAAGCAATTTGGGTGCATTGCCTTTTAACTTAATTATCATAATAAAGCAAGTCAATTAGCTCAATCAGTCGCTGAGAAATCCAAACTGCATTCCCATTTGTAATTACATTTAAAAGTTCTAAAGTTCTAACCTTTTGAAGGGTTAAAAGACTCGTAAAATTGAAAATAATTGAAGTTAGTGCATCTTATAATTATTAATTAGAACCTTTATGTGAGTGGGATTTACTCTTGTCTCAGTCTTCTTTATTTCCAATATCCAATTATGTGAACAAGTGTTAAGAAATTAGAGCTTCCATCACTGAAAATAACCCTTAAAAAAGCATGAACACCCAGCTGGAGAATTATAGATATTGTATATATACATTTTTGTAAATAAAGGTAGAAAAAGCAGGAACGTAACATTCCATAAATTGGGGAATAATGGCTCAATTATTGTGTGAAATAATATTATAAAAGCACAAGCATTAGGTTTGGGGTTGACATTGTGGATAGATGACAATTTCTATAACAGATTGTTTTTTGCTATATTTTTTTCTGAGTTTGTTAAGTATTAATTAGATTATCTTTTTTTTAAAAAATTATTTTATATAAAAAGAAAAAGAGGGGAAAATAATGAAAAAAAAAAAAAAAAAAATTTTTTTAAAAATTATTTTATATAAAAAGAAAAAAGAGGGCGGATAACATGAAAAAAAAAAAAAAAAAAAACATCTCCTACCAAATTTAAGACACAAGTATGTGTTTGCAATCCAAATT